TTTATTTCTTTTTTTAATGTAAAATATTTCCAACATACTGACAATGCAATTGGCATTGTATGCGAAACCATGCAATACATTTGAAAGGGAATGTTTTTAAAGAAATATTTTGACTACTATAAGCGAGATGGTGTTCATGAAGGGCGTTATATCGAGGATTTCCTGTAATTGTACTGATAGCCTGATATTTTTATTTGTTTTATACAAGTAACGCACGTGACTTTTATTTTAAATTCTCCAATATTAATTTCATTCATTTTCTAAAAACAAATATGATCATTTCCCATCCGTAATAAAACTATTTTATCATAAAACTAGTTTCAATCTTGATGAATGTCGTCGATAAAACCATAAAATAAACACTTTGTGAACAGTGTCGATATTGTTTCTAACGTATAATATACACGCCATGTTCAACACTTGTAGAAGTTTATAGACTATCACCTGCTTTGCCGTGGTGTGCTTGCATGATGAATGCCAAAATAAAATAAGACATAGCCAAGATAATAGCTTTGTTATGTAATTTCTATCATACACATATCTACCCACAAAAGATTGATGCTTCCTTTCCATGATTCTTACGTGTGTGGGCTGCTTCGGCAAGACGGTTCACTGTAGGACGGTGAGCGAGAGAGCGAGGGAGGAGGCGGAATGAGTTTGTCTGTCGGTTTTCAAAAACGACTGTAAATTATTTCAACAGCCAAATTGCATGTCCAAAGTTATTTGTGTTCTTAGGAGATGTTTCTCTTCAGTTTGGTAGAAAGACATTTTCAGACATGTCAAATTATCCTTCACGGTTGGTCCCTTGTTTCCACTCCATTACATTACTAGATTGTCGAGTAATGAATAGCGGTGCGTTCGCCCCTTACGTAATTGTAGAGAGGAGTACAATCGAACGCGCCTACCGGGTTCCGACAGTCTGCGTCAGTCTTTCTATGGACCAATAACATATCACATTCTGCCAACCTACCACTCACTCAGCAATCAAGCATACTACAGAATATCTAGTCTCTCAGGAGACAAATTTCGACTAAAATTTATTTCAAATTTAACCAGTTATTGAAATACTTCAAATCTGACTGAATCTGTTTAGCAATATGGTCTATAAATCACCTATTCCAATCTCTTTTTGTGATGTTTTTCTCTTATCTTTTTTTATTTCATTGTTTCAACAGAATTTCAATCTAAACACAATTCTCTTTCAGATATTATCTAAAAATACGTTCATATATTCACGACATGACGGCATTGATGTTTTCTGACATGACCGTTTGGTTAAACAGGCTACACCTATCATCCTTCTATCATCACACATGTGTACCACCTTGGTACATTTCTCGCTGTATCTGTCACTTGGTAAGAAAGAAATAATGTGGTCCAAGCTACCATCCGAAGCATTTTAAATATTGATAATTTGATCTTTATCAGTTAATTAATTTAAAATGGTTTCAAAATTGTTAACAAGATCTCATCCCAGGTGAGATTTGCCTTCATGCTCTATGGATATAAATTAGGACGGAAAACTTGGTCATGGATATAGAATTGGTGTACTTTTCACTTTTAAACGGGCTTGGTTATTTGTTTTGTTTTCTCAATTTTCTGTGTCAGGACAGTATAAGAGTTTCATAACACGATCTCGCATTAAAGAAGTTTCTTATTAAAAGCTTCTTGATACAGATATAGATTAACTCCAAGGACGTTTTATTTTATGCAAAAAAATAAAAATCGGAAGACAAATTATCATAATTTTGATAGAATATGCATGTAATGGAATTATAGCGGTGTTACAAGAAATTAAGACCCTCATAAAGTTGTTTCTGAATGTTGTTTTTGAATTCACAAAATTAGGCTAACGTGTAATACACGAAGAGTGTAACGTAAACATAGTTTTAACGTTTTCATTTAGTCTGACAAAGCCGCGATGGCGAGTGTTAAAGGAGTCTGACCGCCTTTATCGCTAGTCCTCTACCTCTGGGTCGCGGGTTCGATACCTACGCGGGATAGTCGCCATGTACTGGCTGCACGCCGAATCCCGGCATTCCTCCGCAAATCAAACCTGGCACGTCCTAAAATGACCCAGACTGTTGATAGGAAGTAGTACAACAATAATAATTTTTTACAAAGAACAAATAAATATATACAAACTAAGGATTTAGTGTCTCTAAGTAACATCGATATACTTTCCGGATGTATTATAAAACATTTAACTGATAAATCATTCTGAAACCGCGACGTTACGCAGATTTTTTTAACTGAATGTCTGGCAGCACTTGGTGATGTTTGATACTGGCTGTTGTCCCATACTATACGGGACGCCTTGCCTTCATCTCCGCATCGTTAGGTTTAAAAGCACCCGATCACATAAATAAATGATCACTTTATCTCAATATAGCATAACACCCCCTTGGGGATTTCTGTTTGGAAGCTTTTCTCAACTTCTCCGCCTTAAACATTTATGGACTGGGCTGACAATATTCCTATGGTACATTTTGTAAATTACGTAGTTTATAAAACAATCCAGGCATTGCTTTGTTTCTATCACAGATATTTCCGGAGATTCCTCGCAGGTCCTTCCACTAGCTTTAAAATACATTAGCATCCCTTGGGGATTACGGTCTTTGTTGCCTGATGTTATACAGTAGTAAGACCCGTTAAAGTGTATCGCATCATTGTCATGTGGTTCTTGTTCTGTCGCCATCAGTTCGTATTTTTACGACGGGTCAGACAAATATGTATAAATACGATATTTGGTACTTAAAGGGTATGGCATACAATACATGATGAAATATTGAATTTTTAGTAAGCCGACACTTCCGATATTCATCCTAATATCATACAGTAAATCTCGGTGTTTGTATGTAAAACCTTGTATTTCCTGCCATTATTGTCTGGCATTGTAATGGGGTTTGACGATTATAAATCTATGGAGGGTTATAAAGGAAAGAGAAGATAAGACCGTGTTGTAATGCAATTTCAGTAAAAAGGGGTGTGTGTGACAGTATATCGAATTCCTTATGATTATATGCTATATATAAAACTTGAAACATTCTCTACGAACATTTCACTTTAGTAAATGAATTGCATCAAATTGGTTGAATCTTTTTTTAAAATGTTGATTGACATAAGACGAAATGTTGGTTTAGGTGAGGGGCAGTACATCGAAGTCGTAAGACCATATATTATACCTGGATATTATTATATACGCTATTTTAATTTTGGTATAATTTGTCCATTGTGTTGACGCAGCAGAGTAATTGTCCGGTGTTGATGCGGTAGCACACCGCGTCCAGTGTGTTAATGCGGTAGTACACAGCGTCCAGTGTGTTGATGAAATAGTATACCGCATCCAGTGTGTTGATGATGTAGTATACCGCATCCAGTGTGTTGATGATGTAGTATACCGCATCCAGAATGTTGATGATGTAGTATACCGCATCCAGAATGTTGATGATGTAGTATACCGCGCCCAGTGTGTTGATGCGGTAGTATACCGCGTCCAGTGTGTTGATGATGTAGTATACCGCGTCCAGTGTGTTGATGCGATAGTATACCGCGTCCAGTGTGTTGATGATGTAGTATACCGCGTCCAGTGTGTTGATGCAGTAGTACACCGCGTCCAGTGTGTTGATGATGTAGTATACCGCATCCAGTGTATTGATGATGTAGTATACCGCATCCAGAATGTTGATGATGTAGTATACCGCGTACAGTGTGTTGATGCGGAAGTATACCGCGTCCAGTGTGTTGATGCTAAAGTATACCGCGTCTAGTGTGTTGATGCGATAGTATACCGCGTCCAGTGTGTTGATGCGATAGTATACCGCTTTCAGTGTGTTGATGCGGTAGTATACCGCGTACAGTGTGTTGATGCGATAGTATACCGCGTCCAGTGTGTTGATGATGTAGTACACCGCGTCCAGTGTGTTGATGATGTAGTATACCGCATCCAGTGTATTGATGATGTAGTATACCGCATCCAGAATGTTGTTGATGTAGTATACCGCATCCAGTGTGTTGATGCGATAGTATACCGCGTCCAGTGTGTTGATGCGATAGTATATCGCATCCAGTGTGTTGATGATATAGTATACCGCGTCCACTGTGTTGATGCGATAGTATACCGCTTTCAGTGTGTTGATGCGATAGTATACCGCGTCCAGTGTGTTGATGATGTAGTATACCGCGTCCAGTGTGTTGATGCTGTAGTACACCGCGTCCAGTGTGTTGATGCAGTAGTACACCACGTCCAGTGTGTTGATGATGTAGTATACCGCGTCCAGTGTGTTGATGATGTAGTATACCGCGTTCAGTGTGTTAATGCGGTAGTACACCGCGTCCAGTATGTTGATGCGGTAGTATATTATGTCCAATAGGTTTACACTGTGGTATAATTTGTCAAGTTTGTTGAAACTGAAGTATAATTTGTTCCTTTGTGTTCAATCTGTGGTGTATGTCCTTTTGTGCTAACGCTACACAGCAGTACACATTCTGCACTGTATTGGCGCCGTACTTTAGTTACTATGTCTAATGTGTAGACGTTGTGGTATTGAAATTTAAAAATATCATCCGATAAATTCATCCGCCATCGGTTTTTGGATTTTCAACTGAAATGAAAAAAAGCAAAGAAATTCTTGGATCTTAAACGGATTGTAAAACACTGTAACATTCCTATAGCTGTAAAGATTCACATTTATTTCTAGAAATCCCTTATCAAAAATATATTTTCACAAAGTCGCCTTGATCGAAATCTATCGAATAGCCATTACAGGTGATAAGCTATCAGTAATTTATCGTATAACAAATAGAGACAATTTTTTAAGTACTGCTCCGAACTACCAAAATTGTCATGAATGTGTTTGGAACTGGTGTGGATATTTTTTTTTAAAGAACCTGATCTTACCAGTTTATATCTGTAAGCTTTACACATTTCATTCCTCAAAAATCACGGCAAATACCATTTCATATAACTGGTTTAAAACATACCGTTTACTTTATTACAGAGGGCGTTCGTCTGCGACTGAACCTAATGCAGGAGCGGAAGACAAAATGTGAATACCTGAGCGGTCGCGATGGACTGACTGCGCTGGATACTACACAACTGTACGCCGTACCGCGTAAGTCCTCGCAAGCCCTTTTGCAATTTCTAACATACACAAGTAAAAACAGGGAGCATGTTACCATTTTCTTTGAAATGTTGATCTTGTCAGAGGTTCATGCCGTTTTAACCGCCGAGTCTGATTCTGATTTTCTATAGCCACATGGTCATATGTCCACTACGTATATAATGGCCTTCATGATGTCATGATTGCCATTACGTCACATATGTCCTGTACATGCACGTTCACGATGACCTCGATGCTCTGTACGTCCAAAACGAATACCAAGTCACATGGCTTCGAAATCGGTGATAAGTACGAATATCAAGTCACATGACCTTTAAATCAATGACAAGAAGGCTATGTGTTCTGTATGTTTACGATGAATATTAAGTCACGTGATTTTGAAATCATTGATAAAATGTCCAACAACCTCCAAATCACACATCTTCTTGTTAATCTTTACGATATGCAATGTTTTCATCGCCACGTGATCTATACGTAATGAAAAACATCGTGTCACGTGACATGTGCTTATTTCTTTGAATGACTTTGCGATTCAGTGTTTAAAATTCAATAATGACTGGCAACTTGTCATGATTACTTCGTGGTTCAATGAATAGCAGACTGAAAATCATTCATATTGTTTCTACTCTGAAATATAAGCACGCTCCACGGTAATTAGTATAACAAATAAGTTTGGCATCATTGAAATGTATATCTATATATGCTTTATATTATGAATAAACAAATACGCCATCATAATGAGCCTGGTTGCCAGAGCTTTTTACAAGACTTTTTCAACGTGACTTTGTAGTAATCATTTGGCCCTAATGACCTTTTATGTGTTGACGGGTCGTTAAGACTAATGATAATAAAGTGATAACCAGGAATTAATATCGTGATATGTAATTTGTTGCTACAGATCTGGAGAGAGCTGCCAGTGCTTTTGCGTTGCTATGCATGTTGTCCATGGTAACGGGCCTTGTGACGGGGGGATACGGGTTATTAGGACGACAGACCCGGGTGCTCGTGCTTGCCTCGTGCTGCTCCCTTGTCGCCGGTGAGTTGTTGAGTTTGACATCATGTACGGGATCGGGTGATGTTAATGTCAGTGGGTCAGCAGTATTACAGTATTACCCGGGACATGCTTTTGTGAAAATGCGCTTCATTTGTTGTCGCTGTAGTGTATAACAAAAGTGGGCTCGAAGTACACCTCAGATTCCAGAACGTCCTTATAGTATCAAGCTAGATAGATTTGTATGCAAAAAATGACATCAATAAGTCCCTTGTGATAGTTCTTAAAAAGCTGGTCGGGATGTTCTGGGTTTCAATGGTCGGTGCAGTCGTATCGTGATGACACAGATTTTATCAGAGTGACGATGTATAGCCTCGTTTTCAACTACAGATAACAGGAGACCAGCTACTTTCTACTTTTAATAAAACTTTTATAATTTCATTCCAACGACAGAAGTGAAATACCAGCGTATTTTATTTAAGTTTATACCTTAATTCACAATAAACACGGCGATTATACAGGAAAACACATATATGATGTTTAAAGGTTGTCTGTATGTGTTGGTATTTGGATATTCCTCCGCTTCTTTATCGACTTCACATACAAGGAAGGTATATAAGTCACGTGACATGGTAGATAATACTTGTGGACCAATATGGGGATTCCCCTCCCGACATGTGTCATATTAAGTTGAAATATGATCAGAAAAGTGGTTCGTAGAGTAAATGAAAGATTTTTTTGTGGATGTTTGCGTGTGTAACGTCGTCTATAACGTTTTTACAAATTGTTGTCTGGCTGGAGCAAGGCCAGTTTTTTTTTTTCGTCTCGACCAAAGCGGCTTCATTCGCTGGCTTTCTACCTCACGCCGGCTTTGCCAATGTTGATTCGGATTCTTTTTGTCGCTCACTAACGTACGTTTTGCATTCGTAAAAAATGTGAACAACAACAACTTGATTACATATACTCGTATTCCAACTTCTCGACAATTTTAATCTTCATAGTTCCTGTCGAATTGAAAATTTCAAATGTTTTAAAAATTCATGAATATTTAGGAATATCTGTGAACTCAGACCTCCATTTCAGTGAAAAGTTAACATCTTTCATTGGCGAAGAAAAAATACACTTCTTATGAAGTTTTTTTTTTAGATTTAAAAATGTTTTAACGACTTAATAATCCTTTCAACTTCTAATCCTTTATGCTGCTATGAATAACAAAATATGCGAAGAATTTCAACACGATTATCATGAAAAGACTTTGTTTAATTTATACATAGTAAAATAAATCTGCAGAGTGATATTACTATGTAAGATACTTCAATAAACAGTTTTAAAAGTAATATTTAAAAAATAGATAAGTTGTTTTGCCTGATCTCTATACTTTGTATATTGGTGAGTAAAATGTTTCTTGTAATATCTAAAATGGACTGCTAACTTAAGTTAACAGCTAGATAAATTGTACTACTAAACTGATAAAGTAAATCACAAACTGCTAGAGAGAGCACTACCAAATACAGATAAATTGGTGAATAGATTTCTTTGCTAATAAATACTCAAACTGCTAGAGAGTTAACACTGCTAGATAAAGGTCAACTGCTAAACAGAATATCTGTGTTGACAATAAAATAAACTAACTGCTAGAGAGTTAACACTGCTAGATAAAGGTCAACTGCTAAATAGAATATCTGTGTCGATAATAAAATAAACTTAATGCTAGAGAGTTAACACTGCTAGTTAACGGTAAAAAGCTAAAGTACACATACACACACACGCGCGCGCGCACACAACCCCCCCCCCCCCACACACACACATATATATATATATATATAGAGAGAGAGAGAGAGAGAGAGAGAGAGAGAGAGAGACAGACAGACAGACAGACAGACAGACAGACAGACAGACAGACAGACAGATAGATAGAGCGTATATACCCATTGTACTATATAGAACACTGATGATAATGCTTGAGATACTTATAAAAAGTTACATTGAGTTAGATACGAATACTTTATATCGGAAGACCCTCCATAATCCGGACAACTTCGTTTCCGTCCAAAATCGTCCGGATAACGAGTTTTCCGGACTACTGGCGTCTGGATTATCGTGGGCCCACTGTACATGTATAAATATGCGTATGGTACTGTTACAGCAGGTATTGAAAGAAAAGATCGACCTTTAAGCGAGTAAAGTTATCCAAAGCATTGCACAAAGGAAACGAAGGGATGAAATATTCTATTCTTTTCCTTTGTATACAAATGTATGTATCCTAATATCACAGAAAGTCGTTAGAACATTGGATATTGTTCCCTATTCAGATGACTTCAATAACCATTGTTGTTCCCATCCAAGTGTCTGCACCAGGCAGATAGTTTAGGTCTGACATATCATGTACAGTCTCCAAGTCATACATAATTCATTCGCTTGGCACATACACCGCGTTTCCGGAATTTCAAAATGACGCATTTAGAATTCAGAATTACAATGCAGTCGATATCTGTTACTTGTTAATCAAAGAGAATTTAGAAAGAAGATTAAAAACAAAAAAATAGCATACATGAGTGACTAGGTGTCGCGCTAATTTCAGTCATAGTGACATCTGCTTCCGTCACTAAGTTACACGCAGAGACGACCCCTGCCAAGAACTCTTGCATGAAAAATCGTTTTGAAACATTCCCTTGTGTAATATGTTTAACCGTTGTCCAAAACATTGTACAATGAAGAAAATGTCGATCTGTTGCGAACACTTTTTGTCAAGAAAAGCTGATATGCATTCGTAATTGGTGAGACACTTCGATCTGAAGTCAGTGTGGTTTGTTTCAACAGTTCAACATCTGTCAGTCTGGCTGTTCTTTTAATTATATATCCGACAAGATACGCGCTAAATAAACCATTTCCAAACATGTACGTTACTAAGAAATTGTTTACATCGGTGTAGTTTTGAAAGTATCCCATATATGACTATAGTTGTTGTGTTGAAGCAGAACACAACAGACCTTTACAATATCGCGTTTATGGGCGTAACCTTCACTCCACGTTTTTTAATTTGAATAGCGGTAGATATATCAGAGACACGAAAAAAATTATTGAATTAACAGGCCAATGTACCTCCCCATCGAGGTTTTGACATTTTTTTCTATTCAATTTGGTTTTCCTCAGTAGACAGATGTACATTGCAGTTTACCACGTAATATGACTCTACCAGGAACGTTTAGTAAGTCCATGGTTCTCTTGTATCTAATTCTGAATTTATATTGAAAGCTGGTCTTCACTCGTTTAATAATGACTTGTCTTTTGGGAGTCTTATTTATCTTCTGTCTCCATATTTGTTATTCTATGTCAAAATACAAATACAAAAACCTTATTCTTTTTGTTCTTCATTAACACCATGGTAACCATTGTTAGTACTAATGCACTCTAGATCTAAAGATAACTGTCACGCCTACACACTATCAGTCATGTGTACCGAGTGAAGTGTGTACTAATTAAAGTTTATATATGGCAGATAAATTTACCTTAAATAGTCAGTGTTTTTGGCCTTGATCGATATTGTAACATACTCTGATAACCAAACAGTTAACGACGACAGACTGTGGTTGGCTATGTCAAGCGTAAAATTTACGCATTCCTACTGGCAACCTTGGGCAAGCATATACATGTGTAAGATCAGAGAGTTGGTTTGCTGATATCGTTTTTTGTTTTGTTTTGTTTTTGTTTTTGTTCTTTGTTTGTTTTTAGTTTAGTGACCATATCAATATTTTAAAAATCATATTCGTAAAATTGACCTTCGACTATTTTTAATATAAACTGCTTTTTTACGGTAACACAAATAGATGATAAAATCACGTTTGCTGGGATTAACAACAGAACCTAAACAAATTTTAATGCCGTGAGCCATTTCAGAATACAAAGGAAGTGGATATACACACTTGTTTAAGCTGTAATGTTTAAACAATGATAAATAGCCAATACTATACTACCACTTATTTGTTTTGTGACACTCAAACATTCGTGGAATTCTACATCAATAATGTTGCTCTTAATCAATCCATCGTCATCAATTTCGTTGCCCATTCGTTAGTTTCTGCCTCCTGGTATCTTATTTTTGTTTGCATGACTACAAAGTAAGCGGAAGTCATCCATAATCACGAGTCCGACATGATTTTGAAAATGTTCCTAAAACTATTTTCAATTTCTTAAACGGCCTTAATTATTGACAAGATTTTGTGTAAAGTCATATATATGTTACCTTCACATAGTTTTCGTGGTATCTGTATTTATATGTGTAAATGTATGACATGCAGAGGTCATTGTTGCAAAAATAACTTCATCCCATACATAAAGAACTGATATATCAGTATTTACAAAATACAAACTTGTTTCCACTATTTCTTAATGGGAAACGCCTCTGAATGACAGTACAGCTGGGCAAAGCTTTATTTCAACTGGAATATGGTGAAGTGGATTATACAAAAGAAAAGCAGCTACATTAGAGATCCGGTATTGTATAGTGACATTACCGTTCCCGGAATTAATGATACAGTGAAGACGAAAGGCAGCAAGGGACAAGGGTGCTGCTTACATAACAACCTTGCTCAACACTTTATCAAGCTGAATACCAACTAAGGCTCTATTTACATAAATGTGACTCATTTTAATCGTCTGCAAGTATATCTTACTCTCGGCCGTAATAATGTCAAATTATGTGAACAGGCAAGTTTGACTGAAACTATCAACAAGCGCAGTGGTGAATGAAGCTATCAAGCATATCCGAGAGAGATTCAGGGAAAGTGGGTTTCAACAATGCACTCTGCAGGTCATATCTAGAACTTTTGAAACTGATCTTCATTGCTAATTACTACTGGCTAAAATATGATGATGCTATTGTCTTCTACAGGTTTGCTGCTGACATTGGCAATAGCCCTGTTCCATGGTAAATGTCACATCCTTCGTCGGACAGAAATTCTGGCTGGCTACCTCATACCACACAAAAAAGTCATCAACGATTCGCGGACTTACAGCTTCGGCTGGTCATTTGGGCTCGCCTGGATTTGTGTATTTCTGTGTTTTACGTCATCATTTGTGTGGTTGTACAAAGCACAAGATCCACGGCATTCGCGTAGCCCAGGATCAAATTACGTCAGACATAGAACCTACACGAGTCCTGATTACGTCACGTATATGGACGAAAATGATATTTTTGAATGAAAGGTGTACTTTAAGGGTTTTTTTAAATTGCATTTTTTAATTTTTTTCTATAAATACCGAATTAATTTAACGGATGTGCAATGGGTGAGTTATTTAATAAACATAAAATGCAGTACATTCCTCTTATCACGCTTTGCACTATCACAAACGAAAATAATGAAGTAGCACTTCGGATTTTTTTTTCTCCTATGTATAGATATCTGTATTCACTTACTGGCGCATATATATTGTGTCTAATTTGCAATACCTATATAACAGTTTGTGTATAACAGCAATATTAAATCTCCATGTCCAATAATGATATTCACATTATTGAAAATGTAACACTTCACCTATATGAATAAAATTTTTCATCATATTCTATGTAAATATTATTAGATGTTGTGAAAATATTTGAAAAAAAAATACATCTATGTCCATGTCTATTTTGTAAAGCGTTTCATATGATTGAATTAAGCATAATCAAACAAGCATTCTGCATAACGTTGTATAAAGACATTTTTGTGTTTGTATGAAAAGTTACGATGCTTCGTGTAAGTTGCTCGCCGGCGTTGCTACGGTTGCGAGACTACTGTCTTATCAGGTAAGCATGTGTAGTTGAAGCAATAACTTCCGAATCAAAACATTCTAACTCTTACTGTAAATGTGTTTCAGCATTTTATCTTTCCTTTATCGTAGCTTTCACTCCTTTATTTTGCTCTGTAATTGTGACAAGTAATTGAATTTAGCTCGCTTTAAAAAATTCCTTTAATCTGACAACACAATGGCCGGGGATGTTTACCATATATCTTTTCTTCCAGACCATATTGCGTCGTTTCGAAACGAGAAAAAGCACCACCTATTGGAGGGGAATAAAACAAATGCGACCCATCAAGAAACTAATGATATTTACAGTCCTGTCCTTGGTACGCTAAGGAATAAAAGTTGTCATTTAAAACAGCTCAACCCCCAACCCCTACCCCACCATTTGGTTTTTTTTTTAATTCTGAAAAAGTTTTATATGTATATTAGAACTTGGAGTATATCACGAACAGCTACTTATACTAATCAAAGTTAGCAAATATAGTTTCGTATTTTTGTTTACCGGAAGTGAGCGAGAGAAGTAAATGCTTCCCATGATATGTTCTGTTCTCATTGTAGTTTGCAATTTTCGTATCAACGAGTACATATGTTTACTCAATTCTTACCTGTGTAGACAGTAAGAAGATATACCTTTTTTTCTGATATGGTTAACTTTTTATTTAAAAAAAAAAAATAATTAAATGTTTTTTCAGCTTATCATAAGGCAATGGAGTAATGCAAATATTGTATGTTAAGAAGCATTGAACGAGGAATATTCTATATGTCCTTGAAAAGGTCATGATTACCCATGACAATAACGAATGATGATACATTGCTGTTTTCCCTACAATCCCCTCCCCCACCTTTTGTTTTTAATTTTTTTCATTGTCTTCCACTAAAATATGCTAATAACATGTTGTTTATCTCGAATTTAGCGATATCTATCACAGTAAACACGGATCTTATAATCAGCTTGCTAGCATTGACAACAACCTTGTTTATGTATACAAGATGTTGTTTTGCTATGATTCCAGGATAATGTGTCGATAAACTCTATATTTTCTATGTACCTTGACCTTTTATGTCGTATGTTTAGTTCCTATTGTTTCTTCATGTCTATAACAATGGACCTAACACTTTTTTGTTATCGTAACTCTGCCGCCGGGTAATAGGAGTCCTACATGCTGTACACGTGCACGGTACTTATATCAGGTATACAACTGAGTAGCTGTATCCATGGTACCGGGCCGCTTTCTAAACGTGTCCCTGCTTGAGTTATATGCAGTCATGTACTTCTGTCATGTGAATTCATATGCATGGTACCGGACTGAAGTATCACTCTGTACCTGGTAGCGAGCTGTACTTCCGTCATATTGTAGCCATGTCCATGGTACCGGACCGCAGTATTACCCTATACCTGGTAGAAAGCTCTACTTTCTTCATGTGCAGCCATGTCCTGGTACCGGACCGCAGTATCACTTTGTACCATGTAGCGATCTGTACTTCCGTCACGTGTAGCCATGTCCATGGTACTGGACCGCAGTATCAACCTATACCTGGTAGCGAGCTGTACTTCCCTAATGTGTAACCATGTCCATGGTACCGGACCGCGGTATTACACTATACCCGGTAGCGAGCTGTACTTCCATCACATGTAGATATGTCCATTGTACCGGACCGCAGTAGCACCCTATACCCGGTAGCGAGCTGTACTTCCCTTATGTGCAGCCGTGTCACCATGGTACCGGACCGCAGTATTACTCTGTACCTGGTAGCGAGCTGTACTTCCGTCATATGTAGCCATGTCCATGGTACCGGACCGCAGTATCACCCTATACCTGGTAGCGAGCTGTACTTCCGTCATATGTAGCGATGTCCATGGTACCGGACTGCAGTATTACTCTGTACCCGGTAGCGAGCTGTACTTCCATCACATGTAGCTATGTCCATGGTACCGGACCGCAGTATCAGCCTATACCTGGTAGCGAGCTGTACTTCCGTCATATGTAGCGATGTCCATGGTACCGGGCCGCAGTATTACTCTATGCCCGGTAGCGAGCTGTACTTCCGTCATATGTAGCGATGTACCGGGCTGCAGTATTACTCTATACCCGGTAGCGAGCTGTACTTCCGTCATATGTAGCGATGTCCATGGTACCGGACCCCAGTATCACCCTATACCTTGTAGCGAGCTGTACTTCTGTCATATGTAGCCATGTCCACGGTACCGGGCCGTAGACCACTTTAATTATTTAAGTTATTTGTGTTTAAACTTTCCACAACATACCAGTTCGAGTATCTCTGATAGTAGTTTAGTTCAATCATACATCAACTTTCAAAGCTATGCATTCATTCAAGTTACGTGTATATGTACGAGAGGGAGAGAGAGGGGGGCAGATATCACATGCAACAATTAACGGTAAGAGAAAGCAGAGCGTATACCATGGCATTATTAAGAAAAGGGAAGAAATGTTTATCGTAGTAGGTAGCGATGAAGTTAGTGTGAGAATGGCCAGTTGCTCAATTCTTCCAATGATTACACATGGAATTTCTTTTTTGATTTTTATATGATTGTTACGATTACGAATGTCATTAAAACTAAAGAAAAAGGCAACACCAAGTTCTGTTGTTTATACAATGTATAGTTTAATTTCAGTTTTTATTATGGTCAAATAAAAAATCTATTTAGGACACAACTGGAAAGGACAAAGAAAAAAAAACCATGTAATTTCATTTCATATTTGTATATCAACATTTTACAACTTGATAAATATTTACATAATGTACATATATTTTTTATGCACAAAAATCAAATGCTGTTACGGCATTTCATGTAAAGTATTGAATCAATGAATTTCACCTGCCCAATCTGATCTTCATGCTGTGTTTATAGAGGCATCAGATTAGGTAGGTTTCTTTATATCCAATCCCTAGGGGTTGTGTGGCATAACTCATAAGTTGTTACACATGTGCTAATCTTATTCAGAAATCTTCATTCGAATATAAACTTTATGGTACTATCTTTCCATAATTGATGAAAATTAGAGCTAATTCTGTACATGCATGCTACACGTTTGTCTACTATGTAAATTTGATTTCGTTTTTGGATACCTTCATGTTAAATGTATTATTACGACAATCCTAGATATGTGCAAAAATAAAATCAACCCAATGTGTTTGTCGATCCCAAAGTAAATATACATCATGATATTGACACAAAAATAACGATAAACATCAGTCCTGATGGCGTCTGGCTTGATTAATAATTTATGAAGTTTACTTCAAATGTTTACACTGTACTGCGCACAACAATACTGACATCTGTTAATGAATATCCCCATGATTACCCTTCTGTATTCTGCCAAGGGACATATAGCTAATTTAAATATGCACGATTTATTTATTTTTGTTTTAATAACGGAACTTCAGACGATAATTCCGACAGTCAACGCATCCATACGAGACTGACCTTATATCATGACAAGACGTGGGACAAATCAGTGATCAAATTGACGAAACGTTTTAACACGCCTTACTGCTTAGGTGGATGCTGTAAAATATTAAATTGTCGCGAGGTTATTATTTTCCCTTATTCAAATAAAAATAATTGATTTATCACCTTGCTGACAATTTTGGATTTGAGAGTATCAAATCTTTACTGGCCCCTATCATACCTTGTTTCTTGTTGTTTTGTTTGTACTTTAACAAAAAAACAATATCATCGCGAAAATAACGTGTCTGTATAAAACAATACATAAAATAATGAAAATGTAATAATGTGGATACATTTACATGGCATTTACAGTAAATATTAATGACACAGCTTAGCATAAAAAGTATAATTATGACATTCATATCAATCATAATTGGCAGTATTCATATTTTTTTGCAATGTTAAACGATATGGTATGCAATATAGGTAGGTAATCTTTCATCCGGATTTTTTCTATGGGTCATTAAAAAATGTAAGACACCGATTTTTATTCCTTCGATTACCCTCCACAAATCTGTTTTGATCCTATGTTTTCCTGGTATTGAACAGTTCTTCAACAATAGCTCTCTTTCTTTTCTACCACCCCACATGAATTTTAACCTAATTGTTTGACAATTGCTCTCTGCTTTTGTTCCAAATCTTACCTCATCTATTCAACAATTGTTCCTCGTAATTCAACTTGAACTGTTCTTAGAATTGAAAACAACCTAACTATTGCTTTTATCTTCCATAAGTGCCTATCTAACTATTTGACTACTATCCTCATTCCTTTTGACCAAGTATTTACCATCACGTTGGCTGCTTTTCCACAACTGCTATATATAGTTGCTTGCATTTGCCTTATCCCAGCCGTAGGTAACGTTGGCAAGTCCGACAACACACCTTTCTGTAACTCGCGTAGGCACACTTGGACCTTGAGGCTCGTCGCCGACATAAGCGTATTCGATCCTGTACACACCGTGGACCTGCAATGACATCATCAATAACATTCTAGCTATAATTAGACCTCTAATTTACATGACCTTTCTCGTTCAGTTCCATGAAAAATAACATGTTGGTGGTGGTTATGGTGGAAGCGGAGGTGGGCTAGGTCTGTGTAATTAGTGATAACAAAAGACCCTGTAAGATATGTTGTCATTATTTACTGTTGAACCCAAATACAAAGTGAACATGTAACTGTGTATTGTTAATTTCCTAAATCTATTTTTGAGTAATTATTACGCTTATTGCACTTTCGGTTAGGTTTTATAAAGATTCTTTTATAATCTCCTTATTCACTTTGAAAGATATACCATTATATATTTAACTCCTGATCATGCAGATCCCTTTTTCCACAGTGACTTGGTTTAATCGTTTAGAGTTTTTGAGTCGACTACCATTGGATAAAAATCTACAAAGGACCATTACTCTTCATTATCTTAAGAATTCGGTAGGAAAAAAATACAACACACATATCACATGACAATATCATCGATATCGTATAAAATACATGTTATCAAGGACAAAATTATCTAGTCTAGAAAACATGCGTAGTCGCAAGACTTTATGATAGGAATATTTCACCTATTTCCCACTGTATATTAGATGTGATAAATAGAATATTGCACTTGTGGTCACATGATATTGAATTTCTTCCACTAGAATAGTTTGATATGACAACATCTTGTGCCTTAACTTAATGAATCTGATTAACAGAATCAATTTGATACGGGCTCTAATGCTGTATGATGCACAGACAATAACGAGATTTCCCAGGAAGCTCGCAAAGGAGCAGCACAACGGTATGTGACAAGGTATGCAGGCAATAATCGCAGGCAAAGTAGGAGACAAGAGTATTAATCGGGATTACCGTTTGGGAACACAGTAATTAAAAACATGATTAACAAGAAAACTTTAATGGTAATTTTGAATTATTTATCTCTCCCGATAGAAACAAGGACGTCAATAGCATAATTTACTGTAAAATGAACATTACTTTGCTATAGTTGTTTAGTCGCATATACACTTTGGGAACTTTAAGAGTGTTACCTTTTAACAACACAGATCAATTATCGGCCCAAAGAAACAAGCAACCTCCCAGCATGGTCTAGTATAAAGTCCTGTCTTTTTTATGTTCCCTTCGGTAATACAATTAAGAATGCTTTTGTTTCGAACATTCCATGAAACAAATATCAACAACATATTGTTTTTATCAAAATCAACAAGAATTTAGATTTCTTTCTTCATTTTGGCAGAGACTTCAAGTTGTTCCTCTGACCTGACATCCGATAAATTATTATAATTGGTGTATGTTTATCTTTATGAATAAATCAATAATTGAAATAGCACCGAAATCATATGCAAGATACAAAAACAGCATTCAAGGAAAAAGTTTAACGCTTTGTTTAGATATTCTTCAAACTCATCGCTGATTTAAATAAATGTATCAACAATAGCGACAGTATGGTGCCCTTGACCTCAAACTCATTAATCAACACATGTTGAAAATGCGTCACATCGCGATGTTCCTGAAGATATCAGATATGGGCATATTTAATAGATGGAGGTCTGTTCCAAACATACTTGTCGAACTTATTTAACAATATTACGGCGAGGTGACATAACTCATAGTAAGTAATACAACGAAAGTGTAAAGTTCACATTTTATTCCATTAAGTTATGTTTCGCTCTACGTTCAATTACTCGAAAACGTTTGTAAATACCGAAAACGAATGGATAAAGACCAAACATCTGGTTATAAAGGACATGGATCATATCATAGAACGCTGAATCATATATTCCAAAAGATTAACTCAAATGAAACTCGTCATTCATACAAAATGTGGAAAAGTGCGTAGAATTCAGTACTATAGAAAAAAGGTTCCAGCCTCCAAAAGTTTATAGTATTATTAGGTAAGCGATTGTTAACATGGTCACCAGAAGATGCGACACAACATAGATGATGAAACCTCACCTCTAGAACATGGTTTAGGGTTACAGTTCTCTTCACTATTCGGGCGATCTGTTGGACATTTGCTAACATCATCTTTCTCAGGTTCCGGGTGTGTGCAAAACACATTTCGAGTTCGTTTACCTTTACCGCACGAGACAGAACACTGTAATAGAACAGGTGATAAATAATATTGACATAGGTCATGTACAAAATGCACCATATGCTTATGTTGTAGAAGATGTTAATTTCCTGCATTATGATTGTCTGAGACATGCTTTGTTGTTAACTCGTTAAAGCCAAATTATCACATATTATGACAATCTCACCTTTCATAAAGCAGTATATCTAAAGAATAATTCGTTAACTTCCAGAAAACATTCAATATTCCCCGGACTCTATTCTTGGAAGTTTTATTACATAGCACTGGCTGTTGCTCAATTAAGGGACCACAAGAAAACCACCAGAAAATAAAACGTAAATGATAAAATCATTTATTTTCGTGGGATTCAGTTTTCTTGAGTTTCCTAAAGAATCACAAATTCGCGGACACTTTATTTCGTGGTTAAGTATAGCTTAATCAGTCTATGATACTAATTTTAACGATTAGTTGACATATGAATTCATGGATTAAGAGAACCATTGAAAGCAGCGAAAATAATTCCCCTGAAATAATTAATGATTAAACGGTATTGTATTGTCCTTTAATCAAAGACTTAGACGAAAAGAATATTTCTTATACCTGGAATTTTTTATATTTAAAGATTATTATTGGTTTAATGACGAAAATTAAGTTTAAAAACTAAGGAAACATTTATTTCTCATCCTTATACACTGGGCATGACAAAGTATTTTCGTTAATCGGAATCAACAGGGATAAGGTCGGTAACTATTGAAAAAATTGGTGTTTACTGCTGCATTCCGCATTATGCCAAAATTACTTTCTACTGGAAAGTACATTATTTACATTAGTTTTCACTGTTGATACGCTATCGTTGCTTTAAATGACGTTCAAGTTTACAATAAAATTTGAAAATTCAGTCTCACATTGTATCATGATCACCAGTTGTCAATCTGAATAAAAATTATCGATCGAAAAACAAAGCATGCATCCAACAGGTTTAAAACCATTGTGGACAGTGTGATATTATAAAAGTTGACCATACATTCCTACGTAAAACGTACCTGTGACCATTCACTGGACTGCCATTTCTGAAGACATGGAACTCTATTGCATTCTAATGACGCCGGTGGTGACGTCACAGGTCCACAAAACATATGGTCGACTTCTTCAGCGTCTGATGTTTGACAGCTAAGTATAGGGATTTGAACGCCCTCGGATCCACAAGTGTGAGAACAGGGCGACCAATCAAATGTTTTCCATGTGTATGTTGGTGCTGGACACGGAAATCTGTTACAGGCCATTTCTACCTCGGGTCTCTCTTTATCAGAACACATTTCACTTTCAGCATATTCTAAGAACGTACCATTTCCATGGATTTTCTGACAGGTGTAAACCGTATCCAGAATTCCATCCTCACCACAACTCTCACTGCATTCAGTGCTATTTACTACCCACTGATGGGTGTAACATGGAATTCGGTTACATGTTTTTGTAGATTTAGGTCTTGGAATGTCACTGCAGAATTTATTATTAACGGTAATTGTTACACTTTCATTATCAGGTGATACTTGTTCGCATACAAACATTACTTCAAGTATACCGTTATCACCACAAGTGGTGCTACATTCACTCCACTGATATGCTGTCCACCGGTATTGATAGCATGGATTCAATGTGCATGCCCGAGTGGAGTTTGGACTTGGCAGATTATCACATAATTTGCCAGACACAGCCTCAAATGCACCTTCTGACTCTCTCTCACACACATACCACACCCTCTCTACTCCCTCTCCACAGGTAGCACTACAACCACTCCAGTCTGACAAAACCCATTGATATGTATATTCAATGCAAGGCTCTTGAGGACAAGATTTTGAACTGTTGGGTTCCAATTCATTAAAACAAAAGCTATCATCAACTTCTTCAGTATAATTATCTGAGCGTATTCTAATACATTCGACAGTAGCCACCTGCACGCCATCGTCACCACATGTGGTGCTACATTCACTCCAATTGTAAACAATCCACTTATAGATATCTGGAACTGTTTCAGTAACACATGGTATCCGGTTACACTCCCGCGTGAATTTCGGGTGTGGTAGACCGCTACACATAGACATATCTACCTCATCTCCGGTCCCGTTAGAGTTACGCTTCTCACACATGTACCGCTGTGTCTGTGTTCCATTGTCACCACAGGTAGCAGAACACTCAGTCCACTCCACGGACATCGTCCAGTAATACCTGTTAATCAGAGACAAATCAGAACAGATCACCAACACATCTTAGAACATCGCCAATAAGTCAACGAAAGTCAGTGAATTGAAATTGAAACAGCATGTCAATTCGAAACTCATCAAACAAACAAATCATTTTATGAACCAACTAAAGGCAGTCAACAGCCAAACCAGTCTCTGACCGAATGCTCAAAGGAAGAATGTACAAAAAGACTCACAAGTGGGCAACATCTTTTAATATAAATTTAAATAAGATATTGTAGAGCCAAAATGAAAATTGAGAATAAAAGGTCTTTTAACAGAAATCATGAAGGCGTGCAATTTGCCTGAAAATTGGAATGAATTACTGCATTCCAGTGCCATCTAGAGAAAGCAACAAGGAATGTCAGTAACATTTATTCAATTTCATTGTCATCGTGCGTTAGTGTCAACAGCGATATCAAATACAAAAATAAAAGAAAGAATTTCAGTGTAGACATCGTTATTGAAATGTAGTTCCTACGAAGAAACTCTATCTGGGAGAAATCCCATCTGCATTGTCATTTAGAACCTTAACACATAATTGTACAAAAAAGTCACAGAAAAAGCACACTACTCTGACGATGTCGTCTAGTTGTACGTCGGTTGTACAGTCGCTATGGTGATCTTATTGAGAAATATTCTCTCTCTTTGTGCGATATGAAGCTGGACGCGTTTGGTGCTTTTGTTTGCCTGTTGGTTTCTTTGTTTTATACCTTGTTCGCATTTGAGAACGTGACATTACTTAATATTAACCAAGGTTTACATGGCTGGTGTTGTTGGTGAAGCCGTGAACGCTTACCCTTCCGGAACACCTGATATTATTCTCCTTGTACTTTTATCGGAAGTCTCCGTGTAAATCTTTCTCCCTGGTAGTCTTCTCCATTTTCTTTACTAGCACAATGTTATCAGCGTATACGATTCACAACCAACCCTTAACCTAAGATTTGTCAAAGGACAAGAGGAGGAGTTCTGACACTCTTTGATATAATTCCCTTAATATAGTTTCGGACTGAAGATCTTAAATAACACATATAACAGTTTAGGCTTGGCAGATAAATTACCATTGTATAATCAATTCTCAAAACGTTGTACGATCATAAAGAGTTGCTTATATGATCTAAATCATATTAACTAAAATTTTTAATTCTTTTGTGTTTCTTATTCACTAGACAATGCTTTTATTACTTAAATATATAAAGACTTCTTAAGAACATTAGAGTCATGACCTTTCATTTGACAATAATGTCAAAGGATTTCTGACAGTTTGTCAGAAAATTTATGTGGGATGTTTCGACGACTACTTTACAGTCACATGGTTGTGTCTGATATATGGAACATTACTAAAATCAACAGGAATCTGTGACAATATCGTAATCATTATGGACACTGAGCTAGAGCAAGATGGCAATAAAGCCTTAGCGAACAAAGGTCGGAAACATTCTATACATTAAATTGTAACAATGTACCTTAAAATATAACCGAAAAGTCCCGGAGCTGGAGTTCTGGAGCTGTGGGAGATAGCTGTTGAAGTTGAGGTGATACCTATTTCCCTACTAAAAAATATCTTTTACGTACACTTGTTTCTGCCTCGGAAATATTTGCGAACCAAAAATCTAAACTGCTTTTTCGTTATATGTTTTGCTGCTCCTTTTTGCACTATGTCTCGCTTTCCTATCCCATCTTCATTTGATAACAGCTGTTCCGTCAATAAATCTTCCTTAGCTCTGAACCAGCATAAACCATTAAGCAGTAAATGATTTACAAGTCATTCTCCATGTTTAATGTGCTAAACAGTTTCACTAAGTTAGACATAAACTGTAAGAAAATGGGGGCCACATCAAAATTGCAGATTGAATAAAGAATTATTTTAATTGCGCTTTTCATGTTCCATATTACTGTATTCTATTGCTTTATCGTTTTATATCAACACTTACGTGAAAGCACTGCATTGTAACCTTTCACATTTAACAGGTTCGTTTTCTTTTTCTTCCAAGTATTGACAATGATGGTCTTCAACCTTGGTTCCATTATCTTTACTATAACAGCCGTAAATCAGACTCTGCACACCTGCAACAAATATTTTTATAGTACTTATGTGTATTATTTTTGTGACATGAATGTGTTACAAATACATGTTTTAGAGTGTTCGGGTGACTCATGGGTTTTTCTCGGGCATTTTACTTTCCACCCAAAGCGAGTTTCAAGAAAAATTGTCAATATAGCTTTTTCACGATTGTTTTTAAAACAGTTTAAAGTTAAAGTTTAGATGTAAAAAGGTCTCAGTATCATGATTCTGTATCAAAACACAAATACAAAAAGCATGTGACAACCAGAATCCCCTCTACTGCTGCATTACCTGTATGTTACATCGTTATACAAATCCGTAATATTTACATATCTTGTGTCATTAAGTATTATAAGATAATATATCATGCATGTGTTTAAATGTTATTCCTCCCTTTCATAAATAGATTTACTACCTTATTTCCTTCTAATTTATATATATATGTAAATTGTATTGTTTTTCTTTTAAGTATAATTTTAAGATAGAAAACCTATCACAAAGAAATGACACGAGAAAAATCATTTTATAGACTCTGATAATAATATTTGAAAGACTAAAATGTATTGAATTGTGAGGTTATTATTTAGCTTTTGACCTTACGTGACATTACCTATACCGCAGGTAACACTACAGTCGGTCCAGCCTTCATAGCTTTTGACCTTACGTGACCTTACCTGTACCGCAGGTAACACTACAGTCAGTCCAGCCTTCATAGCTTTTGACCTTACGTGACCTTACCTGTACCGCAGGTAACACTACAGTCAGTCCAGCCTTCATAGCTTTTAACCTTACGTGACATTACCTGTACCGCAGGTAACACTACAGTCGGTCCAGCCTTCATAGCTTTTAACCTTACGTGACATTACCTGTACCGCAGGTAACACTACAGTCAGTCCAGCCTTCGTACTTCCATTCGACTAGGTTCATCTCATACGTAAAGTCATCTTTCGTCACTGTGTATGAATACTCGATATTTGCCTCCTCGTTGGCATTTTGTGGATAAACCTATAAATAAAGATATGCATTGTTTTTCACCCATATCGTTCTTTCACTTTCATATTAAAGGTTTTTTTCTCTCCAACCTAGCCTCTGGAAAATTTTATAAATCAAATATAAATGATCATGAATTATGAAAATATTACAAAAATAGAACAAAATGTCATAATTGAAATTATATTAGCTCTACAACAATGACCCCCATGTATGATCTCACTGCCACTGGAGGGTCTTATTTGTATGGTCTCACCGTCATTGGAAGGTGTTATTTGTATGGTCTCACCGTCATTGGAAGGTGTTATTTGTATGGTCTCACCGTCATTGGAAGGTGTTATTTGTATGATATCACCGTCCTTGGAAGGTGTTATTTGTATGGTCTCACCGTCCTTGGAAGGTGTTATTTGTATGGTCTCACCGTCATTGGAAGGTGTTATTTGTATTACATCACCGTCATTGGAAGGTGTTATTTGTATGGTCTCACCGTCATTGGAAGGTGTTATTTGTATGATATCACCGTCCTTGGAAGGTGTTATTTGTATGGTCTCACCGTCCTTGGAAGGTGTTATTTGTATGGTCTCACCGTCCTTGGAAGGTGTTATTTGTATGGTCTCACCGTCCTTGGAAGGTGTTATTTGTATTACATCACCGTCATTGGAAGGTGTTATTTGTATGGTCTCACCGTCATTGGAAGGTGTTATTTGTATTACATCACCGTCATTGGAAGGTGTTATTTGTATGGTCTCACCGTCATTGGAAGGTGTTATTTGTATGGTCTCACCGTCCTTGGAAGGTGTTATTTGTATTACATCACCGTCATTGGAAGGTGTTATTTGTATGGTCTCACCGTCCTTGGAAGGTGTTATTTGTATTACATCACCGTCATTGGAAGGTGTTATTTGTATGGTCTCACCGTCCTTGGAAGGTGTTATTTGTATTACATCACCGTCATTGGAAGGTGTTATTTGTATGGTCTCACCGTCATTGGAAGGTGTTATTTGTATTACATCACCGTCATTGGAAGGTGTTATTTGTATTACATCACCGTCATTGGAAGGTGTTATTTGTATGGTCTCACCGTCATTGGAAGGTGTTATTTGTATTACATCACCGTCATTGGAAGGTGTTATTTGTATGGTCTCACCGTCATTGGAAGGTGTTATTTGTATGGTCTCACCGTCCTTGGAAGGTGTTATTTGTATTACATCACCGTCATTGGAAGGTGTTATTTGTATGGTCTCACCGTCCTTGGAAGGTGTTATTTGTATTACATCACCGTCATTGGAAGGTGTTATTTGTATGGTCTCACCGTCCTTGGAAGGTGTTATTTGTATTACATCACCGTCATTGGAAGGTGTTATTTGTATGGTCTCACCGTCCTTGGAAGGTGTTATTTGTATTACATCACCGTCATTGGAAGGTGTTATTTGTATGGTCTCACCGTCATTGGAAGGTGTTATTTGTATTACATCACCGTCATTGGAAGGTGTTATTTGTATTACATCACCGTCATTGGAAGGTGTTATTTGTATGGTCTCACCGTCATTGGAAGGTGTTATTTGTATGGTCTCACCGTCATTGGAAGGTGTTATTTGTATTACATCACCGTCATTGGAAGGTGTTATTTGTATTACATCACCGTCATTGGAAGGTGTTATTTGTATGGTCTCACCGTCATTGGAAGGTGTTATTTGTATGGTCTCACCGTCCTTGGAAGGTGTTATTTGTATTACATCACCGTCATTGGAAGGTGTTATTTGTATGGTCTCACCGTCATTGGAAGGTGTTATTTGTATTACATCACCGTCATTGGAAGGTGTTATTTGTATTACATCACCGTCATTGGAAGGTGTTATTGTATGTTTCATAAGATGTCGAATTATAGAGGCTCATTTTGTGGCATTAAAACTGTGATTACGAACAATATGAAAAGGTCTCACAAAGTATTTAATAGGAAAAACAAATATTGTCAAATATCACATCACATATCGATTTTCTTGATAAATATGATCCTTATACGATGACTTCACTTTAACGCATTGGATTCGTAAAGATATGGCGAAATTTATCGTTTTGAAGTTGTTGAATTGTAGAAAGTGTCGCATAATGTGTCAGATAGGATTTCTGTACAAGGTTATGTTTCGTTACTAATTTAAAAGATTTTGCCTGATCCAAGGTCGCTTCGCAACCCGCATACAAACAAGGTGAATACGGGTGCTAAAACCACAATTTATCAGACAAATATTTGGGTAGTATTCAGAGATTCTGTAATAAATCAAACGATACTCACAGGAAATGGGGAGGGGGTTCTTAGAGAGAAATAATGAAGTGGACAACATTGAAATGCTTTGATGACAGGAAAAGCAGTGGGTAAACCGCTTGGTTTCATAACAATATTCTGATTTGCTCATCACTTCAATCAATCTAAACAACGATTGAATTTTTATGTCACCTTCATGGAGATTCTGAATGATTTAGTCTTTGTGTTTTACTCCAACGGAAATATAGACAATTCTAGTGAATTGATTGAAGGACAACATTGCAGAAACCTATAAACTATATATTTAAACTGAATATTGCCAAGAATCAAATTTCATCTTTGCGTTATCGCTGTTCTCATGCATAAGGAGATTTATAAATGTATATTTAATAATCACATAAACCTTGCAAATGAACTTTGTGAATGTAAGAATGAAAAAATCTAAAGACCTCTTTATCTCAGGAAATATTGACATTGTAGAACATTAAAGCATCGTGAAGTGATATTTTGTTTCGGTTTGGTTACAATGTCGTTTACAGTTAACGTACTGAAATTGACGCAATCAAATTCTACTACATTGTAACGTTTTGGCATCCACAGTAATTGCTTTTAAACAATGATAAACCGCAATTAGCGCTGAATTAAGATTACTGCTAGAGCATTTAAAAAAAGAAAACAAAACAAAATAAAAAAAAAATAATGCTTTTTTTCTAGAATCTAAATTTTTATAATTTTGTTTTTGTTGAACATTTAAGAACTTTTTCTATATATTATTTAACTCTATTTATTTGGTTGCTTTATCAACTATCAGCAGCCACGGTCCTTTTAAAAAGTTCCCGGAGAAAAACAACGACCTTGGGCTATTACCAGGCGAATTCTTCATGTGAGCCAGAAGTGATAAAGACGGTCAGACGATTTAAACAACCACTCGATCACTGCGGCCCGTCTAAGTGATGGCGGATTCCTTAACACAATACAGTATGAATTTTAAAAGACATAATTGTCCCGGTCGGAAGTAATTTGTGATGGTTATTCTTGCTCAAAGCTAAAAAAAATATCGATAAAAAGACATTCAACACGAACATCGAAATGATATCCGTGCCGTTTTCAAAGACCACAAAGACAGCAAAATAATGTGTCCGCTAATAATACCAACGAAACAGTAACTGAAATATTAAGCAGCAAGTTGAACAAACCATCAAGTGAAGATCCTTTCGCAATGGGCCCATAGATTCCAACGACTCCAGGTTCCATTTGGATGTGTATATGAACCAGGCCCCATTAGCGACAAACTTTTTCGACCGGCCTGGCTTTCCATGTCCATTTAAAGGATATGATCCATAATATGGATCCTTCAAAGCTGTGAAAATAAATAATCTATAAAATACATGCCATCTATATAGGTCAGAGTGAATGGATTTTAACAGACAGTTAAGATAGTCTCTTGGGAGGATCGATTCCGCTAGCTGGGGATATACGTATCATATAAACACATATATCTATTGCTCCAATTGGTTACACAGTTTCAACGAAAGTTAATATACATTTAAGACAGTCAAGACTCGAGACGAGTTGAAATCTAAAACGATGTCAGTGAAACAGGTATTCTCCAATGTTTCCATTACAGTTTACAGATTGTTTGGAAAGACTAGAATTATTCAATATTTAATCACTGCATATCTACTGTTGTCGTTCTGTTGTATATGTACATCTCGTACGAAAACAGAGGTAGATAATGTGTATTCTATCATAACTATTATTTCTGAAACCCAATTCTTCCCTTGATTTAACGAGTTCGCCTTGTTTATACATCTACAGAAATAAAACTTCAACGACACGTGATGGTTGCTATGGTGATGACGTTGACTCTCACCGAGAAAGTGTGCGGATCGCTTTGATTCGGACACGTTGATCCCGCGAGATCCCTTTGGGAGAACTAGAATTTGCTGGTACACGTCATTTCCTGTAAATCAATGAAAATTCATTAAATAGTATAAATTATAATACGGGACCCAGTTTCACGAATCCTCTTTAACTTAAGAAAATATAAACTACCATAGAAGAGCAATACGTAAGTTAAGGAAAATTTAAAATTAAGGTAATTGCCTTAACTTATGTATTGCTTTGCTATGGGCAAATAAGAAAAAAATACATAAGTTAAGAAAGAACTATGAAACGGAAGCCAGGTACCACTAAAGCCTACGTGTATGGTAAGCATAATTAAAAAAAGAAAGTTCAGATTCATATCACCAATAATGACAAGAAAGATCAAAAGTTTTAAACGCATAGGTTAAGATAATCACTTTATCATACACTTCTTTCCCTCTTTCTTTCACTCTATAGTGACGCTAGGTAGTATGAAAATAGAGATATGGAAATCAGGTGCATTATCATTATCATTTTGTGCTACATTTGGCATCGTTTATTTCAATCTGTTCATCATTCCCTCTGTTTTTTTAACATGTTCGCCTGAAACAGTGATAAACTGATTGACTTCAACAATATGTATATTTGTATATTTTTAACAACACAATACAATGTACCAACATGTGGCCTACATCATTATTCGAAATCTTGGGCGAAATATGAAGAAAAAGGCTTTATAGGGAGACGCCTGAAAACGATTCATTGTGGCAATGCAATCATGCTATCACAAAAGAGGTCATTTTCTTATGAAACACAAGAGGAGGACAGAACCAGTATTAAATAAAATACTACGCTTCTTGAAAAGGCTTTACCATCAAACAACAATCAAGATACGTGTTGGAAAAGTGTGTAAAATGATTAATCTAGAGCAATGATTTTTTAATTACTAAATGAAAATCAAAGACGACTTTTTATACTTTAAAGAATAAGGAAAATGATGATAAAAATGATATTACATATTACTGAAAATGACACTAGAATTAGTGAGGAAACGATCAGTATTTAAAGATGTAAATAAAGTCACGATTCATCGTCAAAATTAATTCAAATTAAAAAGCTGATGATCTTATGCAACCCGTTCCTTGTTCTAAACACACATAAACACATTGTTGATATTTATTAGTAGTCACGTACGTCCCGCGTAGGCTAACTTCCGGTGGAAATGACCTTTGACCGTTTTACATTCAGATCCATTACCGCCACACACACCACACGCATCCTCAGATACGGTAGAGTTGATGACGCCATCACAGCCAACTGCCTGAAAAACAAATAACAATAACTCAAAACAGGAGTATTCAATTGAACACTATTGATTATATACAAAACAAATTTCATTTCCTTCAGCATATCAAATTAATATGGTGATTGATTGTATTGATTAGTCAATAACAAGGTCTCACATTAATTTCAAATGATTGAATTTCATGCTATGTCATACATAATGTGAATTCCATTTTCGAAAATATACAGACAAGATAAAATATTAAAACATATCTCAAGTAGATAGTTTTTTACGTAATGTAATTGCGTTTTATTTCATTTAAAACCTCGTGTACAATAGTCATTATATTGTGCACACACTGCAAAGCCAAACAGACTCTTACATGACGCTTGAATCAATAGCAGCTGTACTTGAAGGCAATTAATCACTACTGACTCAGAAACCTATATGAATGGCATGTGTTGTATATATTCTCTTACATAGAGAATAAGTCTAGCAGTCGAAGTGGCCTCCTACATGGACGATTTGACTTGTGAACAGTACAAGCTTTAAAACAAACACTTTACAGTATAAGATTTCTAATATTACTGCTATTCCTTTTAAGTCAGAGCAAAGAGCAAAACTATAACGAAAATAATTAAAACAAGACAATAAGTTGTAGTACAATGTGAAGCATATACCAACATCATAAAGTTAGCATAACTCTCGCATATATGATGGAATGGTGCGTATATGTTCGTACATTACAGGTTATGGTTTCAAGAGAAACAGTTTCATCCAAATACAAAAAACTCCAAAAGATGCACAAATTCAATTAAACTTCGACCGAATCAAAGGAAAAATCAAAAACACAACAAAAGACATTGATCGTATGGATTGTACTTCGTAAATATTGGTCAAAAACTAAAGTAAAATTAAAGCAGATACATTTCATGACCTAATATTGTAAAAGATTTGAATTGAATCGTCAAATCTACTTATTTTCAAGTTAGCGCAAATACAAACGAGGTACGAAATATATTAGCTACTTTCTGACATATGGAAACATTTTGTGGCATACAACGCACACTTTGTGACATACCACACATTTTCCATCCATACAGATCCCGTAAGGAGGGTCATATTTGCAGGGCGATCCGTTATCCATTGGGATGTCTTTAAATGTAGCTACCTCGCCAGTAGTGTTAGATATGCAGGTCAGGGAACATAAAAGATCTTCTGTAACACACAAAGGTCATCAACAGAGACTAAAAATAGTACAAACGTTATTTTGTACAAAGACAAGTAGTAGTTTATAACCGCTCGGTGACTACACTGTCGTGAAACTACTTCATTAACTTGGTGTTTGAGCGTTTCAGGTACCTGTGCTTCATCTTGGCCTTACATCCATTACGCTGTTCTTTCTAAATTATTTTTTATTTACAATATGCTTTATTCGCACTGATGACTTCTGTACGTTTTAAAGACTCTCTTGAATTATTTTGTGAAATTTTCTGACGAGTTTTGTAGCGCTATAATCCAGGCATCGTCACATATTTAATTGACCTCTGGCCACAATATTGATAACAAGCAAATCAGTATATACATCCGAAACCTGATTTAATCTAGAGTAAGCCCGTCATCTATGTTACCAGTACTTAGAAAGTTTTTATACAATACTTATGTTTTCTGAACAATAAACAGATGGACACGCCGGAAATCAAATATTTCCCGTGAGGGACACGCGGTAGATCAGTTCCTACCTTTGTCTGACTGGTAGGGCAGCCATGTGTTCCGGGATGAGCGAACAGGGAGGGAATCTAATACAGTACACTGCAGTCCGCGGATATCGATGTAGGTTGTACAAACCTGTGGATAATATTTATAACCTTGAAAATTAGGGAACACATAACCATTAACAGATAAACCAGAGAATATTATATGGATACACCAAAACATAGACAAAGAAAACAAAACGATTCAACACAGTTTTTTCCGGAAACCAAGCATTTCCTTGAAACACATGGCGTGATGACATTTCTGGCAAAATTAAAAATTGATATTTCAAATCCACAAATACGTAAGTTACAGTTACAGGATTTTTAATCATAGAATACATTCTGAAATTCTAAAGTCATATAATGTAAACCATCCCCAGCGTATCTTGACACATCTCTGATAGAAAGCACTGTCTTCATAAAAATCGAAAGTACTTGAAAGCACTTTCTATTTAATGTATCAAATTTAACACATCTGTTTAGAAAGCTTCCATGAAAGTTATTTAAAGTTTCCAATCAGTAATAGAGATTTAGTTCAATATCCAGGGGGGCAACTGTGATTTAAAATTGAATTAGGATAAATAAAATGCACACATTTCAAAAGGTGAAAAGTCAAAAGAAACGGGCCTACGTCTGCTGCCAGTAGTACGCCAAATATCATCAAAACGCCTCGGATACTGGTTGGAATAGACTTATTTAGATATTTGATGGTGATTGGTCTGTAGGAACACTAAGAGGAAACTACCCTAGTCTAGCAGTGTATATCAGATTCATGTCTCTGACATCGGGGGTCACAACATCACATCGCAATATGTCTGCTTTCTTCAATGAGCTCCATTATTTACATCGAAATAATGTGAAATTCAGGCAGACATGTTTCTATTCAATTTGTTTTACAAGTAATATAACGTTATATTGTAAATTGCCCTATTCCGAAATTTGTCAATATTTCCCCCATCTACAAGAACATTGATACTGATATTGAAATGCGATCCTGATTCTCTTATCTCGCCAAAATGTCCATAATTAAAGGTAAAAACAAAATTTTAAAAACAACAAAATTATTACTCAACGATTATGTTTCATGCGAAACATCTTCTCATAGCATTTTATGACATAACGTCATGATGTGTGAGGTTACTCTTTACATTACAAAATATCGACTGTAAGCATGAAGCATTGTACCGAATTATCGATTGAAAACATGAAAAACTGCACCGACAGATCGACTGATATGAAAAACTGCACCGACAGATCGACTGATATGAAAAACTGCACTAAAAGATCGACAGATATGAAAAACTGCACCAAATGATCAGATTGAGGAGGATGCTTATCTAAACGCCTTTAAAACCCTAGGTATCAAAGCTTTCCATTGCCTGCACATATGGCGATACTCAGGAGGAATGAAAAGAGTATGTATGATTGCGTTTGAGAAATAAAATCTATAAAAAATAGTTTACCTCGCTAGTACAAGTTTCAATTTGTTCTTCCTCCCCAGTACAAAGACGGCCTCCAAATTTTGGTCTGTAAGCAGGTAATACATATAGATATAATAACTTAATCAAACTACACCTTATGTTGGCTATGATGTATTCCTGAACCATACATCGCAATGAACAGTCGTATACCAATCCAATCTGTTCCTAAAGTGACAATTAAACAGAAAATATAATTCATATCTGAAATACGGAATTATTTTCAATTAAAGAACATGCAAAAAACAATATCAAAAACATGACTTCAAATACTTTTGCAAATCACCTAAATGAAAAATCGTTCTTCAATTTCAAATGTTCTTCTATGCGTAATGAATCATGACTCTGGCATTTACACTGCAGTGTTATTTTTCCTTCAAATGGTTGTTTGGTAAATATTGCAGTAGACTTACACTGGTTTGTCACAGCTACGCGCTCTTTGCCTGAGTCCCACACCACATTCATTAGAACAAGAACCCCAGGCTGCCCATTGTCCCCAACCACCGTTGACAGGATCCTTCCGTCCATGATACGTACAAGCTCCTTTCTGACACGACTAAAAGCAGAATTTAGATATCTTTACATAATACCTGTGATTTATTTTACAAAGCAGGCGGGGATATAACTCTATCGTTTAATAGTTTTATATATATACATATATATATAAGTTAGATTGCAATAAACATATACATGCAGGGCGTTATATGGCATGACAAGGCTAGATCATCCGAAGCTTGATCTCAATTTCTGATGTTTTATGATAATATTTCAATATTTTCAAATTGATCATATATATACTCTCATTGTAATAACGCCCATTACATCAATATTTATTTTGACACTTTTCGGACCACCTGAGGGTGCCTTATGATTCCATTGTGATGACTCCAAAAAAGAGAGAGATTCAGCCAAAAATCGCAATTTAGAGTTAATATTAGTCTAGTGAAAGGCTGATAACTCTTCTTACATTTGTAAATATACAAAAGATATATGATAAGAATATAACAATATCCTTTCAAATGGGATTTATGAAACTTGTCGATTTATTGAGTTCATTCCATCTCGCCGGAGGTTCGGCTGCAAAAATATCTTAATTCAAACTCAATATCCACAATGCATACAATATATTATTTGATAAGCCTTTACCTGGTCGGCCCCACACGATGTTCCCTCTAGAGCTCTACCTCTTTTGGTTTTGCAAAGTCTGTGACCACTTCCATCGCTGCACCATAGCTGGGCGCAAAGATCGCCATAGTACTGATAGTTGGAAAGAACAGAAATCGGAACTAAAGTATTAAATAATCAATAAACAATATATTTTCTATTTTTGATTCAAATATAATTCAACTTCAGCTTCATAATGATTACGATTCTGTAAAGTCAGCTTTTTCCATTTCTTTTTTTTTTCATTTTCGATTGCTATAATAGATAGGTGTTAAAAATAATTCCTTAAAAATGCATCTTTTCGCGTAAAGTGTTTGGTAAAACCTTAAAACGTTGAATCCATTGATGAAGCATACTTCACAGTATAATGAACGTTTTACAGATAATGAAGGGTTTGTTTTAAGTGCATCGATTAGTGTTTTTTAACAGAGAAAGTCGAAGGACAAGTTGCCTGGTATGGCAGAACCAACATACGTTTATAGAACAGTGTGAAGCCAAATGGAGGAAATGAATGTTGACAGAAGAGCGGAATAGGTAAGGGAGGCAATCGGATTTAACAACAATGTAATTATATACCGATCTACAGGCAGAGTGTCTTCCGCCGAACTCGTACTGACACTGTTGATCAAATGACCATAGGTCACCTAAAGGGTCAGACACGTGCTTGGAAGTCTCCCGGGTCAGCGGGTTATTGTTAAGACATGTCAAGTGCCTGTAAGAAAATAAATCAAGCTCTTAAAAGGATGATAAAGCTTATATGGAATCTTGAATAAACTTAAAACATACAGATAACTTTGACAGTTCCATATATACTTTGCTTACCACAATACGATGACTAATTTCGGCACGAAAAGACACAAGCAATTTGACCACTGCTCGCTCTAATTTCTAATGTTTTCTGTTAGTTCTCAAAATTCAATTAGTCATTCGTTCAACCTTATTTCCACCAGGGTAACCAATCAGTTCAACATACGAAGAAACCCACGTCAGCTCCATCAAGTGAAGCTGGCGCTAAGCCTAGTTTTACTGTTTCAACCATTCAAACATATTAAAGAAAATTGATCCGAAATTAAACGCAGACAAACTGACAGCCAAGACATCTGATGTATTTTAAATGTTTACTGGCATTTTTTGTCCGATTGGTATCGATCACACAGCAACTAGAAAGGAAACTACTTCAGTGGAGGTCGGAGAGGTGGAGGCAGAAGATTCAGAATCGAATTAGGTTTCGAGTGTGTCCCTCTCACAAACGTCTGATCCAATTAGATACCGGGACCAGGCAGGTGTGCCACCAAGCACGCAGCGTATATTTGGTATATATGTACATCATATTGACTCTATACAACAATTTGTAACTGGAACACAATTCCGGCAAGGGACAAGATATTTTCGTTTCAAATAAATGACACCAATGTTTGTCTTCCTTTTATCTGGTTATTTTTGGAACGTGTAGGCAGGAATCCTGCTTGCTTGGCATGCGAAGTAATTGTAGTCTTGGGATCATTGCTAAATGGACTAGTACATGGTTCAACACACGGTTCGCCTCATGACTTTCAGTTCTATTGACGAATAAATTACAGTTCTACCCTATAATAATATTTTGAAACAATCATATTGCATTTTAATACACTTTTATTTTTTCCCTGACTCTCTTCTTTTTTTTCTTTATGCAATATACACAGTCAGTATTCAAATCACAAGACCTGTCAATTGAAGAATCCATAGAAATAGATATGGAAGTTTAAAGAGAAAATGTAAAAAGCATGTCCAAAAAATATTCTAGCATATATATTTTGCATTTTTTTTTTTTTTTTTAAATTTCAAAAAATTAAAAGAAATGTCAAAATCTAGATTGAAAGGTGCTTTAATAACTTCCGAAAGATGAATTACGATAAAAGCTGTATTTTTCGAAGTCTCACATTTTTGCAGTTTTACCGGAAATGCTAAACTAAATTGATATATATCAAAGGAATTCTATTATTCATGATTTTATCATAAAAATAGCAAAAAGAAAGAAGCAATTAAAACAACATGTTTTACACATTTGCCTAAAATTCGGGGACCGCATCTTCATTTGTGTTATACGAGTTGATGATTCAGTTACTAGTGGTTCTGTGTTTCGCTTTATTGATTGCTTGAATTTTTTTATGTTCCTCGAAGGGCGAACATATAGTCATAGCATTGTCCGTCCATCCGTCCGTCATAATTTTGTGACAAAAAACTGAAAGAGTTATCAATTTGAAACTTCATAGATAGATCGATCTCGATAAGGGGATGTGCCTGCCTCCAACCTGCATAAGTTTTCAGGTTCATCCATCCATTCTACCGATGTTTATAAATGGTCAGTAACCAAACAGGACTGGAATTCATGAAATCGATACAAAATATTAATAATCTTTTCAAACTATAAACGCTCGGATTCAAATTAGAAGTGACTGCTTAAATGATAATTATTCACTGCCTAGCTTAACGATGTGCTAATACTGGTAACAAACCATATATGCATCGAAAGTATGCCACACTTTCTTATCACTGGGGGAACGCGTTAAAATTAATCAGAATATCTTAAATTTTAGACCCATTTCAAACAATAGGCTGAATTTTATTTTTGTTATAAATTGAGAAATAAAACATATCAACACTATGGTCAAAGAATTTTGGAGGATATAGATATAGTGTGGCATATATGGAATTAAGTATTTACATCATTAATTAACATCATTCTCTGTGTCTTAAAATTCTTATATATATGGAAATTTGTGATGCACAAAGATTAAAACGTGGTTTCCGGGTGCAACGGATTAATCATGATGACCTAAGATACCCAATATTTCTCATTTAACCATCTACCGGTACAATCATTGATAAAGGTTGAAAATTGCATGTAATAAAATCATAGACCAAAATCACTTAATCGTTACATCACGTGTATTGGATTAATTTACTTACATCGACGACGCTTCTACATATGAACAAAATGTTGGTAACCTACTTACGGCAGCATTTGGTTCATACGGTCATTGCTGCACGTAGACCACCAGTAATGCTGAAGATTGGACTGTACCATTGGTGCCATGATAGCTGTGGCGTATTGCGCCCCATGACAGGTGTTTCCGTGTCCATCGTGATATAAACCAATGCTGTAACAAACGGAAGTTGCATGTAAACCAGGTAGCAACATTAATATTCATTAAATAGAGATTATTAAATGTGGCTATTAGCTATCAGAAGGAAGAGTTGTTAATACAAGAACGGTAACTCTTTGTTACTATCATTTTAACGAATCTGTAAACACTGCAAAATAATATAGAAATTTCAAAAATAATGTGATAGTTTTAAACATCTTAATCTTCACCTACTATGAACATCTACATGAAATTGGCAACGACAACCAAACAAAAACAGGACATGATAACCATATTCCAGATGGATATTTCGAAAGGAGATTTTGATTGCCTCTTTAACAATTGCAACTTTTTTACAACTTACACGTGAGCGACTTCGTGAGCGACGATAAAAGCGGAAGTAAACCCGTCGTCTTTGACAACTGCGCAGCTCCTGGAAGGGTTACACATACCCGTGATGGGCGCATAGCCTGCAACATGAAGCTGTCATTGGTATACCCAAAAAACGTCGAAAACAAGACGGGATTTATTTTCTTTTATAGTAAACATATACATATTTATTTTTATAAGAAACTGCAAGCTTTTATGTAGGAAAGGCTTTATTTGTGGTCGGTTTATTTTCGAGGTTCAGGGTATAACAGTTGCTGACATGTTTGATTTAGAATGTTTTGTATTGATAGAACACCAAAATGAAGTCATCGTTAGGGTAACATAATAACAAACTGCAACATCGTTTGTTTACGTGAGTGATTTATTTTCATTTCCTTTGTAAGTACTGTAAGTTAAACAACAGCCTCCTACCTGCCGGACCCATGACCGTTCGCGTGAGGAGAACAGCCACATCAAAGTTGATGCCACCGCCATAGTAACGGTTGTTGTAGGCTTGGACTGTTGTCCATCTACAGAAGTTGTCCACTGTTCGTCTGGCATCGGAAGCTCGTATCACCTTTTTCTCCTGTGGATGAGACACAGAAACTTGTAAAGTATCCGAGATGAGCATCTACTCCACGATTAAATGCTCATCTCAGATGCTAATAATATATGAAACAACTATTGCTATTATTGTGATGAAGTGATGGTCATTTCGTACAATGAACGTACGCCCTTTTCCCAATTGTCTAACTGGTAATTCAGGTGTATTTGTCAATTTTTCATATATTTTCTTATAAGAGTGGTTCATTTCCAACACTGTCCTGAGAAATAACTTTCAGACACAAATTTTAACGTAAGATTAATATATACATGCGTTTTGCTTGAAGTCTAGAATCCATGCCGTATATTTTTCAACAAATCAAATACTCCTGGAATGGCTATTTTTGTCAGCGTTGAAAAAAAAATTGAGGCAAAAATAACTTAATTTCATACAGTTATCAGTTAATAAACGTTAATTTTGCATATAAGGAAAACTTTATGCAACGTGAATTTATATCAAGGCCAAAGTGATTTGTCCCCAAATAAGATAAACAAAGTGGTTTGAAATATTACGTTATTCTACTAAATAATGATAAATATGTAGCTGAACCTACATCCTCCAAGGTTATCGTGTTAACAGGTTGAGTTATGTAGACAAACCTGCAATTTTCTCATAGATGACGATGTCAAAATATCAGATCTCTATTTTGTATCTGCAATAAATCAATCCATGTTATCATTTCCGCCTACGAAAAAAAATGACCTAAATCAACGACCATCAATCTCAATTTGTAAACATGAAAGCAATGACGTGATAGTTTCCAACATCAGCAAGGTGGTTTGTTTGCATGGGTAGTTTCCATGAAACGAAACTCTACCTCTTAAATTCATGTAAGTGGCAGTGTACACCCAACGGACAAACGTTGGTCCCATTTTCACTTAGACGTGAATAAATATCCATGTTCTCGTTAATTATGAAAAACGGCTCTTCATATCCTCTGGGAACATGGAAAAATCGCATCAGCGTCTCGATAAAACGGATCTTCTCAAACGAAATCAATATAATGCGAAAAATTGTAGAGAACGCTGACCCTTTATTGCTCCGTTCCTCTCTGGCTCCTTTTTCTTTCAGACAATTTTAAGTACCGAAATGTATATATATATATGTGAGCTATAAGTCGAAAAAGCTGTTATTGTTTGCCAGCTACTTTAATCATTTTTGTTATTCTAAACGACAGTGCAAATTCTATGTCAAAACATCAATATCTATTTGTCGGTTGGACGCCATATAGAATAAATGCAGTTGATATTTCGTATTTTCACAGAATAAAGCAATGCCAGACTGCTTGAAACAGAAGTAACAAGTACATACAAGTACTAACGTGAATATCACTTGCTGTCATAGGTTTTGACGTTGTCATGATGTCATCACCGATGACGTAAACGTGAATCTAATCAATAACAACATCTTGGACTGTTTGTTGCCGTATGGAAGAAAATGGATGGAAATCAGCAATGCGTTCATTTGGTTTTTGTTTTTGTTTTCTTTTGTTTTTTGGGGGTTTTTTTTCAATGCAAACTAATTAATCGGAGTAAACAAATGTGGAAAATGTTTCGGGAATTTTCGTCAGCGCAAAAATTCCGAACTTAACGGATGACGTCTTTAAACGGAAATGAAGTGAAAACAACCAGGAAATCAGACGTGCAATTATCCCACCTGCATGACCTGTTTGGAAACACCAAATTCAATTTCCCGGTTTTTTAAATTTTCCAGTTGCTCAAGAATTATCACATATGCTGAAGAAGTGTCGAACTCGATTTGTAAAGACAGTGCTATTTTTCGTAAGCAGTCAGGAATGAGAGCTTTGTTTTAAACCACTGATTATAGAGTCTTTTGATTCTCCAAGATACCTTTTTCGATTCCAACATGTCGTAAACAATAGAAAACAGACCATCCCGAATCTCATTTCTGTCAAACACATCTGATCAGCTGATTCGGCACTACTTTCAATTTACAAATAGCACCACAAAAAGTAGATACTACATTTATCTGGCAAAAACATAATTGTCACTGAAACTGGAGGTTATGAAAATGTGTATATTATTTGTGTTTTCTGTTTGTATTTTTGTAAAAAAAAAAAAAAAAAGTCCACATTTTTCGAAGTTCACGCTCGAGGTAAAAGCTAAAGTTCCTATGAAACAACGCATGCGTTTGTGCTGAGATAACAACAATATACATATATAGTTTATTGGGAAAATTCTGCCTGTTACTTAGGGGTATATTACCAAATGAACTGATTTACTTACCGTAGCTTTGTCCATCTTTATGATCTTAGATGTAATAATTTCGATGTCTGACGTCAGCGAATCATGTTGATACACCTTGTTGACCTGGGAAAAGAAAAATATATACATATATATATATAAGGAAACTGTTATTATCAAAATAAGGAATATGTCCTCCTCAATCCCTGTTTCCCATCTTCGTCATCCTCCCCCCACTCCCCCCCCCCCCCCTCTCTCTCTCTCTCTCTCTCTCTCTCTCTCCCCAATACTTCAATTGACATAACAAGCCTCCACTCGGAGGTAACGACCATCTACTACAATCGCCAAAACAGATGAGACATTACAAACGCAGATGAAGTATATAAAGATAAATTCACGGGAAGGCAAATGAAAAGAATATTTGATTATGCGCTAATGTCCTTAATAAATACCAAATTCACACTTATTAAAGGAGTTCTAGATCTCGTTATTCATCCACACTCTGTAATACGTCTATATTTTGGGATAAACTATTTTCTGTGGTGTCTAAGGTTTATTTCATGCAACTTACAATATTCATGATGGTGAGGACGTACGTCTTAACTGCCTCGTTGCTTACAAGGTCGACGGTCTTCGTGTCGGTAACGACGAGAACCTCCATGTACTTCCGGCCTCCAGGGGCGGCACGGCGCTTGCGCGATCTCTTTTCCTCTTGGCGTTTTGCATCTTATAGACATAATGAAATGTATTGCACTACCAACCGCATCAATATCGATGACCAAACGAACGAATAAAACAAATATAACTTTAATGTTCATTTGGTGAGCTTTGAAAAGGAAAAACATTCCTTAATCATACATACCTAAATCTTCGTTTGATTCTAAATTGAAAGATTTTATCATGAAACCGGCTCTTAATGTGGTAAGAAAGAGAGCGATAAAGAAATGTATTAGTGATATAAGTATACTCCAATTTTCGTGCCAGATTAAGTCGTAGTCAAAATTTTCCAGTTTCATTGTACAGCGATGATGAGTGTCACCTTAAAATCATTCATATCAAATATCAGCAATCGTCAGTATTTGACGGTTCTGCCAATCTTCTTATACGAAAGACCAAAACAAACATGTTAAGCAAAATTGTGATATAGTTTTCCCATTTCGACAGCACAGTTTAGATGCTTGACTCCAAAAGGGCTTTTATTTAAAATATCATCATCTTTCACTTACATTGAGTGTATGAGATACTCTTAAAATTCTTACCCAAAATGGGCGGACAGTTGTGGTATAACATTTCCCGCTCCGAAAGCCTCGTGACGGGGGCATACAAAGATAAAGTTGTATGTGTTTTTCCCCTCATAATTAAAACAACTTTGGTATAATATATATTTAGATATGAACACTTACCATTATCTATTTTGCATACAGTCAACATGTGGAGTGTGTCGTCTGCTCGTTTCTCGACCATGATTTCTTCTTCTTCTGTCGCAATGTAGCCGTTCTGGAGAGGAAAATTGACATTCAATCTAATGCACGCAATATTATCGTTCCAAGTAAAGATTTATAAATAAACACAATTTTTTAAACATTAACCTTTTTCATAAAATGTGCCAATGAAATAATTATATCTAACTATCCGTATGAATTACTTATTTTAAAGGTAAAATCGGTGGAAAAAACCACCAATCCATTTATTTCATCTAATCTTTTCCCCTCTGACAATCTTTGTGTCTAAAATGAAAATTACGTACCAAACCATCACAAAGTGATACCGCCACACTGCTGTCCGGACGTCCCACAACACTGCCCTGATAGAGACACTTTTCAGACAATTCCTCCGAGTAAGTTTCATTACCTTCTGTCCACAAAAGAGTTCCCGATTCAGGGTATATAACTCGTCTAGATATTTCTAAAACAGTTAGGTGTTGTTTCCTTGGTAACGTTATAAACAGATTATCTGAGTAATTGTCAGAGTGTACTAAAGCGCTTAAGAACTCTCCATCAGCGTCACTGAGATACGGTATCGCCTCTTCTAGCCGTGCGTTCGGACAAAATGAATTGACCCGTGCATCTGTCAAAAATAATTCGATGAACTATTATGAATCAAGATAAACGAAATGTGCTGACAAACTGGTATGAGAATCAGGTTGTCCAATACTCTTCATTTAAACACGACATGAGAAAGGAGATTGAAAGAAAGACAACTCCGACCAACATAGAATAGAGATCGTGCTATGCGGGCATGATACAGAGATAGACGGTCATTTATTTCTGTGAAATCGATACCAAGAATAGCTTTCAATCAATATCTACTAAACGATCAAGAATACTAATACTGACTTCCCCATATACACGAACATATCATGATACTGCATTGGGAAAACCGTGGTCATTTTGCATCAAAATATGTTTTACTTTGGTTTGAGTTGGGCACCTTCGACTTGTGAGTCCGGTAAATACACTAACTATTAGGAGCTAAATTCAGCCACAATGAGAGAGTATCATTAAATAGGTTCAGTCAATTTTTTAAACTTCTTTTCATATCATATGTGCATAATCATTTTTTTGTTTTATGTCTTCACTAATTGAATACGAATTATAATGATGTGATTACATTTTTCAAAGATCTACGTCATGATACCTCTTAATTCCATATTGACTTTTTAAATCGATACATGCTAACATTGTAAAGTTGGTAAAGGAATACTACTTTATTCTTTACAAATCATCGATTCCGTATTTTATATGATCGTAAAAATGAAATATCGATGTATAAAAATAAGTATTAAAATAAACAGGGTTAAGAGTGATCAAATCTAGATTATTCAACGTTAAGAACTCCTGATCAGAAACCGTATATTTTAATACTATCAATATGTCTTTGCATAGGAACATATTCCTGATTTCGTTACATTGTTACATTGGTCAACATCGATTATTAGTGTTTCCATCACAGATATCGATTGTCTCACCAAACCCAAAGTATGCAACAAATCCGATACCTGATACATCAAAGCTGAGAATTCTATAGTCATCTATTAATCTGTAGACATATTTCAAACAGTTCTTACAAGTCGCTTCAGAACAAAAAATACAGAAATCTCAGAGTAAGGAGAACTAAAGGTATTTGTTTTTAATTTGAATTGTACTTCTTGTTGATAATTTTTTAAATAAAATACCTTTCTACCTGTCAAATCTCATCCAGAACTATCCTAAAATGTACTGTCTTAGTGACATACATAAATGTCACCTAAATGTCAACTCAATACTGAGATACGGTCTGTAGACATCATGACATTGAAATTTCAGCCAGAACTACCCTACTGACATGTGGTCAGAAGTCACAGTGTCATCCAAATGTCACCTAGAACTAACCTAACGGAATACGGTGGGGAGTCAGTGACATCCAAATGTCACCTATGACTTACCTACCGGCATACGGTGGGAAGTCAGTGACATCCAAATGTCACCTAGAACTAACCTACCGGCATACGGTGGGGAGTCAGCGACATACAATGTCACCTAGAACTAACCTACCGGCATACGGTGGGGAGTCAGTGACATCCAAATGTCACCTAGAACGAACCTACCGGCATACGGTGGGAAGTCAGTGACATCCAATTTCACCTAGAACTAACCTACCGCCATAAGGTGGGGAGTCAGTGACATCCAATTTCACCTAGAACGAACCTACCGGCATGCGGTGTGAAGTCAGTGACATCCAATGTTACTTAGAACTTACCTATCGGTATACGGTGGGAAGTCAATGACATCCAATGTCACCTAGAACGAACCTACCGGCATGCGGTGAAAAAGTCAGTGACATCCAATGTCAACTAAAACTAACCTACCGGCATACGGTGGGATGTCATTGACATCCAATGTCACCAAGAACTAACCTACCGGCATACGGTGGGAAGTCAGTGACATCCAATGTTACTTAGAACTTACCTATCGGTATACGGTGGGAAGTCAGTGACATCCAATTTCACCTAGAACGAACCTACCGGCATACGGTGGGAAGTCAGCGACATACAATGCCACCTAGAACTTACATACCGGCATATGGTGAGTAGTCAGTGACATCCAATTTCACCTAGAACTAACCTACAGGCATACGGTGGGGAGTCAGCGACATCCAATGTCACCTAGAACTAACCAACCGGCATACGGTGGGGAGTCAGTGACATCCAATGTCACCTAGAACTAAACTACCGGAATACGGTGGGGAGTCAGCAACATCCAATGTCACCTAGAACTAACCTACCGGCACACGGTGGGGAGTCAGAGACATCCAATGTCACCTAGAACTAACCTACCGGCATACGGTGGGGAGTCAGTGTCATCCAATTATTTAGAACTAACCTAACGGCATACGGTGGGGAGTCAGTGACATCAAAATGTCACCTAGAACTAACCTCCCGGCATACTGTGGGGAGTAAGTGACATCCAAATGTCACCTAGAACGAACCTACCGGCATACTGTGGGGAGTTAGTGACATCCAATGTCACCTAGGTCTAACCTTCCGGCATACTGTGGGGAGTCAGTGACATCCAATTTCACCTAGAACGAACCTACCGGCATGCGTTGTGAAGTCAGTGACATCCAATGTTACTTAGAACTTACCTATCGGTATACGGTGGGAAGTCAGTGACATCCAATGTCACCTAGAACGAACCTACCGGCATGCGGTGAAAAAGTCATTGACATCCAATGTCAACTAAAACTAACCTACCGGCATACGGTGGGATGTCATTGACATCCAATGTCACCAAGAACTAACCTACCGGCATACGGTGGGAAGTCAGTGACATCCAATGTTACTTAGAACTTACCTATCGGTATACGGTGGGAAGTCAGTGACATCCAATTTCACCTAGAACGAACCTACCGGCATACGGTGGGAAGTCAGTGACATACAATGCCACCTAGAACTTACATACCGGCATATGGTGAATAGTCAGTGACATCCAATTTCACCTAGAACTAACCTACAGGCATACGGTGGGGAGTCAGCGACATCCAATGTCACCTAGAACTAACCAACCGGCATACGGTGGGGAGTCAGTGACATCCAATGTCACCTAGAACTAAACTACCGGAATACGGTGGGGAGTCAGCAACATCCAATGTCACCTAGAACTAACCTACCGGCACACGGTGGGGAGTCAGAGACATCCAATGTCACCTAGAACTAACCTACCGGCATACGGTGGGGAGTCAGTGTCATCCAATTATTTAGAACTAACCTAACGGCATACGGTGGGGAGTCAGTGACATCAAAATGTCACCTAGAACTAACCTCCCGGCATACTGTGGGGAGTAAGTGACATCCAAATGTCACCTAGAACGAACCTACCGGCATACTGTGGGGAGTTAGTGACATCCAATGTCACCTAGGTCTAACCTTCCGGCATACTGTGGGGAGTCAGTGACATCCAATGTCACCTAGGTCTAACCTACCGGCATACGGTGGGAAGTCAGTGACATCCAATGTCACCTAGAACTAACCTACCGGCATACGGTGGGGAGTCAGCGACATCCAATGTTACCAAGAACTAACCTACCGGCATACGGTGGGGAGTCAGTGACTTCAAATGTCACCTAGAACTAACCTATCGGCATACGGTGGGGAGTCAGTGACATCCAAATGTCACCTAGAACGAACCTACCGGCATACTGTGGGGAGTTAGTGACATCCAATGTCACCTAGGTCTAACCTTCCGGCATACTGTGGGGAGTCAGTGACATCCAATGTCACCTAGGTCTAACCTACCGGCATACGGTGGGAAGTCAGTGACATCCAATGTCACCTAGAACTAACCTACCGGCATACGGTGGGGAGTCAGCGACATCCAATGTTACCAAGAACTAACCTACCGGCATACGGTGGGGAGTCAGTGACTTCAAATGTCACCTAGAACTAACCTATCGGCATACGGTGGGGAGTCAGTGACATCCAATGTCACCTAGAACGAACCTACCGGCATATGGTGGGAAGTCAGTGACATCCAATTTCACCTAGAACTAACCTACTGGCATAAGGTGGGGAAGTCAGTGACATCCAATGTCACCTAGAACTAACCTACCGGAATACGGTGGGGAGTCAGTGACATCCAATTTCACCTAGAACGAACCTACCGGCATGCGGTGTGAAGTCAGTGACATCCAATTTCACCTAGAACTAACCTACCGGCATAAGGTGGGGAGTCAGTGACATCCAATTTCACCTAGAACGAACCTACCGGCATGCGGTGTGAAGTCAGTGACATCCAATGTTACTTAGAACTTACCTATCGGTATACGGTGGGAAGTCAGTGACATCCAATGTCAACTAGAACGAACCTACCGGCATACGGTGAAAAAGTCAGTGACATCCAATGTCAACTAAAACTAACCTACCGGCATACGGTGGGATGCCATTGACATCCAATGTCACCAAGAACTAACCTACCGGCATACGGTGGGAAGTCAGTGACATCCAATGTTACTTAGAACTTACCTATCGGTATACGGTGGGAAGTCAGTGACATCCAATTTCACCTAGAACGAACCTACCGGCATACGGTGGGAAGTCAGTGACATACAATGCCACCTAGAACTTACATACCGGCATATGGTGAGTAGTCAGTGACATCCAATTTCACCTAGAACTAACCTACAGGCATACGGTGGGGAGTCAGCGACATCCAATGTCACCAAGAACTAACCTACCGGCATACGGTGGGGAGTCAGTGACATCCAATTTCACCTAGAACTAAACTACCGGAATACGGTGGGGAGTCAGCAACATCCAATGTCACCTAGAACTAACCTACCGGCATACGGTGGGGAGTCAGAGACATCCAATGTCACCTAGAACTAACTTACCGGCATACGGTGGGGAGTCAGTGTCATCCAATTATTTAGAACTAACCTAACGGCATACGGTGGGGAGTCAGTGACATCCAATGTCACCTAGAACTAACCTACCGGCATACGGTGGGGAGTCAGTGTCATCCAATTATTTAGAACTAGCCTACCGGCATACGGTGGGAAGTCAGTGACATCCAATGAAACCTAGAACTAACTTACCGGCATACGGTGGGGAGTCAGCGACATCCAATGTAACCAAGAACTAACCTACCGGCATACGGTGGGGAGTCAGTGACTTCAAATGTCACCTAGAACGAACCTACCGGCCTACATTGGGAAGTCAGTGACATCCAATTTCACCTAGAACTAACCTACTGGCATACGGTGGGAAGTCAGTGACATCCAATGTCACCTAGAACTAACCTACCGGCATACGGTGGGGAGTCAGTGACGTCCAATGTCAACTAGAACGAACCTACCGGCATGCAGTGTGAAGTCAGTGACATCCAATTTCACCTAGAACTAACCTACCGGCATACGGTGGGAAGTCAGTGACATACAATGCCACCTAGAACTTACATACCGGCATATGGTGAGTAGTCAGTGACATCCAATTTCACCTAGAACTAACCTACAGGCATACGGTGGGGAGTCAGCGACATCCAATGTCACCTAGAACTAACCTACCGGCATACGGTGGGGAGTCAGTGACATCCAATTTCACCTAGAACTAAACTACCGGAATACGGTGGGGAGTCAGCGACATCCAATGTCACCTAGAACTAACCTACCGGCATACGGTGGGGAGTCAGTGACATCCAATTTCACCTAGAACTAAACCTACCGGCATACGGTGGGGAGTCAGTGACATCCAATGTCACCTAGCTCTAACCTACCGGCATACGGTGGGGAGTCAGAGTCAATGTCACCTAGAACTAACCTACCGGCATACGGTGGGGAGTCAGTGTCATCCAATTATTTAGAACTAACCTAACGGCATACGGTGGGGAGTCAGTGACATCCAATGTCACCTAGAACTAACCTACCGGCATACGGTGGGGAGTCAGTGTCATCCAATTATTTAGAACTAACCTAACGGCATACGGTGGGGAGTCAGCGACATCCAATGTCACCTAGAACTAGCCTACCGGCATACGGTGGGAAGTCAGTGACATCCAATGAAACCTAGAACTAACTTACCGGCATACGGTGGGGAGTCAGCGACATCCAATGTAACCAAGAACTAACCTACCGGCATACGGTGGGGAGTCAGTGACTTCAAATGTCACTTAGAACGAACCTACCGGCCTACATTGGGAAGTCAGTGACATCCAATTTCACCTAGAACTAACCTACTGGCATACGGTGGGAAGTCAGTGACATCCAATGTCACCTAGAACTAACCTACCGGCATACGGTGGGGAGTCACTGACGTCCAATGTCAACTAGAACGAACCTAGCGGCATGCGGTGTGAAGTCAGTGACATCCAATTTCACCTAGAACGAACCTACCGGCAAACGGTGGGGAGTCAGTGATATCCAATGTCACCTAGAACTAACCTACCGGCATACGCTGGGGAGTCAGTGTCATCCAATTATTTAGAACTAACCTACCGGCATACGGTGGGGAGTCAGTGTCATCCAAATGTCACCTAGAACTAACCTACCGGTATACGGTGGGAGTCAGCGACATCCAATGTCACCTAGAACTAACCTACCGGCATACGCTGGGGAGTCAGTGTCATCCAATTATTTAGAACTAACCTACCGGCATACGGTGGGGAGTCAGTGTCATCCAATTATTTAGAACTAACCTACCGGCATACGGTGGGGAGTCAGTGTCATCCAAATGTCACCTACAACTAACCTACCGGCATATGGTGGGGAGTAAGTGACATCCAATTTTCACCTAGAACGAACCTACCGGCATACTGTGGGGAGTCAGTGACATCCAATGTCACCCAGAACTTACCTACCGGCTTACTGCGGGGAGTCAGTGACATCCAAATGTCACCTAGAACGAACCTTCCGGCATACTGTGGGGAGTCAGTGACATCAAAATGTCACCTAGAACTAGCCTACCGGCATACTGTGGGGAGACAGTGACATCAAAATGTCACCTAGAACTTACCTACCGCCATACTGTGGGGAGTAAGTGACATCCAAATGTCACCTAGAACAAACCTACCGGCATACTGTGGGGAGTCAGTGACATCCAATGTCACCTAGAACTAGCCTACCGGCATACTGTGGGGAGTCAGTGACATCCAATGTCACCTAGGACTCACCTTCCGGCATACTGTGGGGAGTCAGTGACATCCAATGTCACCTAGGACTAACCTACTGAATACGGTGGGGAGTCAGTGTCATCCAATTGTCACCTAGGACTAACTTACCGACATACGGCGGTGAGTCAAAGTGACTTATGATCGAGAGACATCATGACATCTGAATGTCACAAAGAAACTTCCTAATGTCGTACGGAAGAGAGTCACTGTAACATCGCATTGTCACCAAGAATCTCAATGACATATGGTCGGAAGACACAGTGAAATCACTTTGTGATCCAGCATTTCCCGAAATGACATATGGTCAGGAGTCACAGTGACATCGTATTGTCATCCAGAATTAACCGAACTGATATATGGTCCTGAGAAAAAGTGAAATCGCCTTGTCACCCAGAATTTACTTAAATGACATATGATCAGGAGAGTAGAGACACAGTGAAATCACATAGTCACCCAGAATTTACCTAAATTACATATGGTCAGGAGACACTGAAATTACAATGCCACTTGGAATTTACCTAAATGACATATGGTCATGAGAAACAGTGAAATCGCATTGTCATGCAAATTGTACCTTACTGACATATTGTCGGGAGTCATTGTGAAATCACGTTGTGTCCCAGAATTTACCAAACTGACATATTGTCGGGAGTCATAGTGAAATCACATTGTCACCCACAATGTAACTAACTGACATATGGTCGGTGTAACCGCAATGTCACAGAGAACTACACTAGTAACATGCTGTGCGTGAGCCAGTTATACACGGTCCATATCGTAAAATTGTAAAACCTAACCCTTTGTCAGATAACACGTTTCCCGACGATAGATTGGCAGTTAGCTCGCTTTAAGTTTAAGTTCAAGTATAACATAACTGAACTATCAAACAATAATAATTATTGTGGTTTTATGGCGTCCCTGTACAGGTCCTAATGCAATGTTTCGCTGTGCAGCAAATGTGGCAGGATATTTACATGCGCGTGCAATAATTACTTACGTTTAGAAGACCGTACACTGTAGATTTTTTTTATCTACAGGTTTATATGTTTATATGTAAAGAGGATCCAATGCTAAATGATCATCATTTCTATATCACGCTACAAAGTAAACACCATGTGTGTGTGAATGTTCAAGTATTACCCAATACACTATGATTGGCAATAGAATTATGTCCCTGAAAAAAATCCGAGAAAAGGCTTATTTCTCAAATCAGCCATAAAAAGTAGGAAATACTGGATCTGGGGATTTATCCGCCTTCCATTCATTTCGACCTGTTCGGATATACACCTCGTTCGCCTCATAGGTTTCAACCATTTAGGCTCTAGCATCCCAGTTCGTAAAGATTATACAAAAGTTACACAAGTGAGTAACCCATCTTAATACAACTTAAGTGTTAGATACAGTACAGTCAAACACTCGTGAGTCACAGATGCTAATGGCCTATATTTTGAAGCCTATGAGGCGACAGAGAAAAATCCAAAGTGATCGAAAGAAAAGTCAAAATGTAGACTAGGATGTACACTTGTCCCATAATTAAAGGACGAAACAGCTGTATAGTGTGGTTTTCTTCATGTACTGAATTCTCTGTATCTAGTCCTTAATTTATACTGCAAGATGCTCTCCGCTTTAGTGCCATTTGCACAACTTTAATAATAGATATTTTGCAAGAACCTGAATTCAAATAATTTGAATGTGTTTTGTTATGGTAGCATTACTTTGGCATTCATAATCACTGTAAACGTCATACCAAGACAGCTCAACGAATATATTGGTATTGTCTACCATTTTTTGTCGTTTGTCATTTGTATATTTTAAATATTTCTAAAATTTGAGAGAAATATGAATTTGGAGATTATGCATTTTACGGTACGGTCATGTTGAATAGTAAATTGTAACCGCCTGAAACATTGAAATTTCGACGGTAACGCTGGCATTTACAGCTTATTGAATGCCACTTCAGACTTGAAGGTATAGTCTGGATGCGACCAGAAAATGTACACTATGCCCGTGAATTTTGTTTTTGTTTTTTTTTTTTTTTTTTGTTTTTTCAATTTTTTAATAATTTTGGAAGGGTTTCAGAATATCAAATGACATGCCTTAAAAGTCCTTACAGTGATATAATCACTGTTTATCAACAATTACATTATTATACTTACCTGAAGAAAAACACACATCAATATTTCATGTCATGTCTTTCAATTTAATTAAATCTTTCATACCTAATTGATATTTGTAAATACCTGGAATGATATCAAAAGCCAGCAGAAATCAATAAGGTGTTATTTCATTTAAAATGAAGTTTAAAATTGTTTCTTATTAAACTACCTTAAATATACGGCTTCACATGTACTCAAGTCACGTGTTATCTTTGGCGCGTGAGTTGTGACGTTGATATCAAACGAGATTCCACGAGATTAATGATATCGACAATACACCGAGCAACCTTGATTGGTATCAAATGCTTTCTTTAGGAAACAACTCCGCTTGGCTTTATGGTAAAGTTCTTGTTTACGATATGGACATGTTTATCGACTGCCGTTGTTTTTATTTACATCAATAGTTATGTGTAAATATGTGTGTACTGTCTGGCTCTTCTGACCTTTGACACTTTAATGTCTAGTTACACTGAAGTTTCGTGCATCTACCGTCATCAGTTTGGAAGTTTTTTTTATAAGTGTCTATAACATCACACGTGGATGATCATCAGAAACATTTTCTTAACGGAGTTAAGTATCCAGAAACACAAAGAGTAAGACATACTTACTGCCGGTATCTACCACAGCAGAAGCAGCGATCTGAAACAGACGGGAAAGTGAATTAACAAAAGAATTTTATCTTTTGTGTTTTGATAGAGAATGATGTGGAGGTGTACTGTTGAAGGCATGATTCGATGTGTGTGTTAGGGTTATGTGCGCTCGTGTTTTCTTCTTTTGATTGATTGATGGATGGATTATAATAGTCTTTACTATTTGGTTGACTAATTGATTGATTGATTGATTGATTGATTGATTGATTGATTGATTGATTGATTGATCGATCGATCGGTCGGTCGATCGGTCGGTCGGTCGGTCGGTGTATGGATGGATGGGTGGATGGATGGATGGGTGGGTGGGTGGGTGGGTAGGTTGGTTGGTTGGTTGATTTATTGATTTATTTATTTATTGATTAATTGATTTATTGATTGATTGATTCTAATACAGTTATCTATTTACTCGTTTTTTATAATTTATGTTTCATGAAAATCCCTTTTTAAGAGTAATGTCATGAAAGTACTCTTTGTAAGATGCTGCACAATAGGAAAACCTGTCTTCAATGGCAACATATACCGTCCAAACAGTACAAAGTAAATAATCAAACAAAAGACACAAAGGTCTTTTCTATCTTGGCATCAATATGATCTTGTCTATGATGTTGTCTAGGTAACCATCATTTGTTATATATACAGAAATATCAACGTTGTCACGTGTTTAGACCGCATTTTAATCGGGACGAAAATATCAGTGATGTTCATACCCGCGTAAAAATAACTATTTTGATAAACATACTATTTGTTGATTTACTCACAGATAGGTACATACACGTAAGTAATACTTTACCTACATCCGATTATAAGTCATAATTGTATTTTCTGTTACATATTCAACTGCTGGTAATCAATACAAAGGAAGATATCCACGGTACGCATATCATCTGCATGGTATGAAAATCTAGTTTGAAAATTTCGATTCCGGTATGAACGTCCTGATACGAATACCATTGACATTTTCGATCTGATAAGAATACACGTTTTATTTCTACATACACAATATAATGAACTGTCGTTGTTATTTATACCATTCCACATAAAATTTCACATGAAAACGCTCGTTTGATACAAAACTAAAAGCTTAAACATTCGAAATGTTCGTTACTGTCGCCATCTTGGTTTGTGCCTACCACATGGTGTGATCTTTATACGTACTACAGTATTTATATCTGTGTTAGAGTAGAATATTAAAGGCGAGTCTTTCAGCAGCTGAAACAAGTGTTAGACTATAAATTGGGAGTTACTACAACGTTATAATATGAAAGGTGCTATTACCCTGTGTGTCTTTTGTACATTCCATTTAAAAACTCTTTTTAAGTCGTATGAAACCCGAAAATGTCATTTAAAGCAAAAATGTATGATTCTGGATTATAATAAAATCTTTATATATAAATTCTAATTACCTTGTCGAAAAAGTCAATATTCTACATTTTCATACTTTTGTGGAAAAAAAACCTGTATTCGGAAAATTGCGCCATATGCTTTAGAATGCAAATTCACTGCATAAATGTAATGTACATTTTGTGTTTTGGTTTTTTGTATAAGAGAGTGTTATACGTGTGCGCGTGAAGAACGAGCTAATGCACGTAACATGACAAAGAAACAGAACAGATCTGCTTGGTGTGATTGTTCGATGTGTAGTGCGGGCATACAGTACATTTGGTAACCGTACACCTTCTAAACAGCCCAGATGTGTACTCGTGGCTTCTGGGAGGTCGTAAAACTGTACGGAACGTTTGCAATGAAGAGATAACAGAAAATGCAAACATTGACAATTTTTGAAATTCTGCTTAATCAAAATAAAAAAAACTCATGAGAAGAAATTGTATACGATAACAAAACATCGAAAAAAGTATTGATTTTCTTTACACAAACACAAAAATAAATTATCAAAGGATTTCCTGATAAAAACAATGGTTTGAATTTTTTTCCTGTTGGGAAATTTAAAAAGTCCTCAGTGATTATCGGTGTGTTATGGCTTGGTAAAAAACTGACAGAAATATTGATGTTTTATCTTTTTGGTAATTATAATGCATTTGCTTTGTACGAAGTTGTTCAATGCCTCTGGAGTTATCAAACAAGTATTAATTTTCATGTCAAAATCATAAAAAAAAGCGTTTAAAACATCACAATCAGATTTATAATGCATAAGTACCTTACCTGTAAACTCAGGCATAACGTCATGACAAGCTGAAGCAACTGGACATCGGCCTTTTGAAAGAAGACGGCAAGCTTCATAGACGGAAACATGACGTCTGTTGTATTTCGTTCCGATGTTGTTATCTAACGAAGGCCCAACGATGATTGTTGTGGAAGAGAAAAGCCAACCACATATATACCACGATAGGCTTCAGTTCTGACCAAAAACCATGTTGGAAACGGAAAACTGTACTTAAAGTAGGGGGCCTGCCTGTTACTGCCGAACCTCAATTGGGATACCGTGTGCGTAATTGCTTCATGCCGTCAAAATCCCATCAAAACACGTGGATGCTACATAACAATTAGACAAACATTTCAATACTAACCAAATTGTAAATCCACATTTTATTGGCCTCCGACCTCATGTATTTTACAAATCAACAAGACGTCATCATTTTTCCAATGCGTGTTATCAGTAACTTTGTCGAATGTATCGGCGAGTGTGCGGTTTTAATTTCACATGGTAAAAATTCATAACGTTGTAAGACAGCAATACAAACAACTTACTTTACCAGCTCTTTGTCCCATTAACTCCCTGTATTGTTCACACGCATATTGAGACCATATGGTCTAAAAACGAAACTTGGACATCTTGGTTTAATTAGAATATATGTGGAAAAAACCACATGATATGTCAAGCAGTTTAAAAATAAATATGAAATGCATCTCAAGTTTCTACGTGAAAACACTATGCATATGAGTTTGTCGTTGTAAACAACAGTGATGATTATTAATCCCCTAGTGCAAAAACACCCTATTACGGGCTTCCTTTTAACAGAATATTCGCGAGGAAGACAGAGTAGTATATGGAAGTTGATATCATCTTTGTCAGACATCACATATACCACATAACATGGTATGAGATACAAAAATACCACCGTGTCAAGATAATTTTACTTGTGCAAAACATAAACAAAAGAAAAGATTTACACGGAAACTTCTTCTTGAAGCTATACAAGAAGAACAGACTAGGGGTTTCAAAAGGGTAAGCGTCTTCTAATTCATCGACGACACCACCATGTAAATCTAGGTCAACACAACTAAGTAATGTCACATTCCCAGATCAGAACAGGTAAACAACAACGGAACCGCCAGATATACTAACCATTTAACGAACCCAGCTTCACTTCGAAAAAAAATATGTTCCCTCTTATCTTTAATATGACACCGATGTTTATTTTAAAACCCTGAATCCCTTTCTTCAGAAGTAACAAAGTTGTACCGATAAAGTTATATTCGCTCATTGATGTTGTATACATGTCACTAGTTAGCATACTACGGACGGAGGACATGATAGATACACGATCACAGTTTAGAGCCAAAATTACGCTTACTTTTTCCTTCCGACACTACGTTTTCACTGTTTACAATCGTTTAAAATGACATAGATGATGCTCTTTCTGAAGAAGGACGAGCGCTAGTCTAAGAAAATTTTATTTGAAAAGATTGTGCAAAAGACACACACGTGAATAGCAGTTTTAAATACAAATTTAGAGTAAGATAAAGTAGGGTAAAACGATTAATTCAACTGCATCATACAGCTGTTTCATCCTTTAAGGATTCGTCAGTGATGCTCAGTGCCAAAATTTTAAACCTAACGAACCCCAGGAGGAACAGCGTCCCTGTAAGCTGCACTATATGCGAGCTCTACTTCTCTATTGCGAGTTTTCCAACTTATCTACAGTAACAAACACTCTCCTACCCTTTCTCGCAGCTGATTCGATATCCGCGGGATTGTTACTAATATCATGCATTCATATCATAAAAAGATATCGACAGCTGGCAAAGATAACGGTTGAAGAAGAACATTGAAAGTTTTATGGTCGTCACCAGGCAATCGTCAGAAAATATTCTATTTCTTTGCGAGACATGAAGTATAATCGGTTGTTTCGTTGTTGTTAGTCGTGTCTAAATATACGAACATGACAGTACATACTTGAATACATACGGGCGGGTGTCGTCGATGAAGCAGGGGACGTTTACCCTTCCGGAACGCTTGGTATTTCTGTCCTTGTATTTGTCGTTGGTTTCCCGTATAACTCGTCCTTTCGTTCATGTTTTGCCCTTGATTGATCGATATTGAGTTTGGGGTACGGTTCTGTTAACTTTTTGGTATGTTTTTGTTGCTATTGAGAGTAATTTCAGAGAAAAAAAATATCACGTGTTGTAATTACTTTCAGTTTTCTACTTTGAAATCACATCGCTAATCAGTAATGGAACACAAACATTTAAAATCAGACTCTTTCAAATTGCATTTTTTTTGTAAATATTAATAAAGAAGGACTGTAAATATTTTGAAATATATATAAAAAAAGACATAACCGATTCTTATTAATCAGTATCTATAATATGTCTGCCGATAGTCCTTTATTGCTCTGTGCTGTTGTCAGAAGAAACCATGTTAATGAGGCATGCAACAGTCCAATCGTGTTGGCAATGTCCACAAAAAAAATCTCATCTAAAGTACCATAATCCTCTTTATTTCTGAATATGCTGGTTAGTTTTACGACATCGACCTTGGCATACAGTCAGTTTATAAACGTTTCCACCAGGGGGCGTTGCAGGAATTAAATCTCACGAGAGTTGGAACTCGTCCAGGACTTAGCCTCACTATTTCTCATTTAACCTACTCATAGACGTTGTTTGGTCGTTAAAATTGTCTAAGCGGTATCTTCATCCCTTCATATGAACGTAGTGACCTTTAAAACATTATACAATTTACATATCCTGACTCACAAGGTGGGATCCGCCTTGCGAAACTTGATCACGTGCATTTGATGCAGAATATTAATTTGGAGAGTGAATTAATCAGCTAATTACAATGCGAAACTTCTATAGCCAGTAGATACACATATTTGAGCCAACGGCGTGACCAGATGTGAGTTAATTGATTATTTCATCACGAAGAGATCGCCACTTAGGCGGGGTCAATCATCAGCAGGTTGTGTTTATGATACGTGCAAGTATTCAGGCAGTGATTATGATGAACCACCAAAGCAAAAAAAAAATATTCATAACATATATATATACGTTAGGGAAAATTAACAGTAGAAGTCCCTTATAAACTGCGTTTGTTCTTTATCATTTTGTCTTATGCTTTCGATACCCGATATTTTTGATAATTGTATTTGCATTCAGGTGTTTGTCAAACTTTGACTGTTTGCCATTATGCAAAATATTTGCTTTCTGGACCGTCTACAAAATTTTGATTTATTTATCTATTTTTTTTTCTGCTGGTCTTTGTTCATAGTGCTAATCTGTTGTTCTCTGTCCTCATTATATGTCTTTGTATACAATGTTTGTCTTTAGGGCTTAATCCATTTTTCTGTACTCGTGCTCAGGATTATATGTTGCGGGTCACTTGCATAGAGTTCAGCGAGGTAAATGACAAATACTCCCTCCGAACAAACAGACACACAGACAGACGGACAGACAGACGAACAAAAACACACAGACAGACATGTCTTTTGGTCAACCCAGGGTTGTTCAAATCTATTCTCTTTAAAAATACTTTTGTTTTTGTTTTTACTCAGAATATCTGTTCATAATTAGTCTATAGTGGCAGTTGTATGTAGTATTTGTTCTTTGGTTTGAACTGAACGCAAAAACTTTTTCTAGCCTTGTCCAAAATGCCATTTGCGGTCGGTCCATGATACTTGTCTTTACTTTTCGTCTCCTGAGTTTTATTCACGGTATCTCTATCTCCCTTCGTCATTGTCCAAGTATCTAATCTTTTGCCATGTATTTGTTGGAACTCTTCAGGTCTGTGTTACGGGACACCTTAATCAATACACTCTTTAAAAATGTATGCTATTGGGTAATATTTACTTGGGTCTCCTTGGTGACTTTACTCAAAGTAAAAGCTTGGATTGTGGATATTTCTCATATTTCGTCATTAGCTAATGCAACAATATTTATTTTATATATACTTGCAATTACTCAAAACGTGGGATACAAATACACAATGTATTTCATTACGTTTTTTTTCTATTTGTCTAATTGATCATTTATGCAAGAAACGAGCGTTTTGCAGTTTTATTGTTAAAAATGATGAAAAAATCACCTAAAGTAATATATTAACACGATGAAGCCATTTTCAGATTAATTTAAAAGTTCCATTCCACTTCAATCGATAGACTTCGAAGAAAGATAACGAGTTCGTGGGGAAGTGCTGAAACATGCCACAAAAACGCTACAATCAATGTCCAACCATGTAACACTAGGGCCATCCTGTTGATCTAATCGGAAAACAAACGAAAAACGAATTCTAATAATATTTTTACTCTAGATAAAATGTTCCATTGGTTTCCATATACTTGTACTTTCAGAATCTTGTTTTAAGAGCACGTGCATGTATACATGCATATCGTATTTCACATTTGCCTTCCGTCATTATTCCCTTTTGGCCCGAACCTGCCGTGTATAAACGACCTCGGTCTCTCCCTGGGCCAAGTCGGTTCTCACTTGCCGTGATGATGATCTAAAACAGCTTGGTCATCAACTTTTGTCTTGTTTGATAATTGTCGACAAACAGGCAATACTGTGTTCGTGATATGGCCCTTTTATAAGACTTGTAAATTTTAGGAAAATCGCTGTTCTTTTTACTTTACCAAGAGAGACAGTAAGAGAAACTTGAATGAAGTAAACAGACCCTTTATTTTTCCACAACATTGAGTCCATTTCTCCGATGATGTATAGGAACGTTAGTACGCGTCAGTTCTTGCTTAAAACGTGAAATGATCACTACGAGAAAAATAATAAGTATTGTAGTTTATTTCCTGACAAAATCAAATAAAAAATTTTTAATGGAAAACATTTATTTTGTTTGCAATCACTTGCATCATTCAAATGTATGTATTTCATGCCATACGAACTTTCATTGACAAAAGCATGAAAGGGTACACTGATCTACATCGTTCGCTGTATAGACCAAAACAGTTCTCAGGAACACATGTCTATCTTTTATTGTTAAACTCTTTTCAAAATATATCTTTATATGCCTATTTTACTGGAGTTTGTTCAAGGCTCTATCTTCTATTTTGGACACGACAACGTTTGTAGTTTATGTAGTCTTACAGCAGATCACCCATTGACGTATGAAAGAGTGTCAGCCAGCTACAGTTGTGTGTTGAGTTTATCGCCCTCTGAACA